ACCTGAAGCTCCACAGCTCTCTTGTTTGCAATATCCGCCTTGTTTCCGGCCAGAGCGATCACTATGTTGGGACTGGCTTGTCTCTGCAGCTCCTTCACCCAGTTTTTTGCTCGTGCAAAAGTATCCTAATCGAGCAACAAACTTTATCAACATTGCTCTCATGTGGTGTGTATTCACATTACAATTATATTTAACGTGAGTGGAACATTTTTACTTTTACATCATTTACACTTCTGCATACATCTACAAGAGGCTGACCGACACCCGACCTGAAGACGTGACCACAAAACACCCACATGTCTGAACACGTACAGGTCTAATTTTAGATTAGATGTCATATGATTTTTAACACAGAGCCCAAAATTGGAGAGTGACTCGTATCCTCGTAATTCTTGGAGTATTGCTCGACTTTGTAACTCTGTAAACTTTTGAAAATAGCTTCCTTTTACTGTCACAAACAAAAATACAGAAAAAAACATTAAAGTAAAGTACAACTAAAACAGCTTAAACAAGGGTTCATCATGTTGCTACTGACTGGTAAGACTGCCCCCCTTGTTACTCTGCATGTGAAACCTACTGTGTTGGTAATGTCGTAGACCACAATGGCCGCCTGAGCGCCTCTGTAGTACATTGGAGCCAGGCTGTGGTAGCGCTCCTGACCTGCTGTGTCCCAGATCTCAAACTTCACAGTGGTGTCGTCCAGACAGACAGTCTGAGTGAGGAAGGCAGCTGAGGAGAGGAGGACGAGATCAGTGAGATGATAAAGCATTAGAGTCCACCCTCCTGTTTATGTTCATGTTCATATTCATTAAGGCTGTACTCGTATCACTTCACATTAGCTGGGACACAAGCTCCATGCCACATAAACATATCTGTCCTGTTACATTTGCTGAAATGAAGTATGAATCTGACTCAGATCATTCAATGAAACAGGCTACTAGTTTAAAGCATTCTTGAGTCCACAATTTGAGATTACTTTATCACAAGTGCCCAATTGATAAATGACTTGATTCAAAAGCCATTTTTAGGACTAACATTTTTTATCATTAGTGCAATGTTGAACTTATTGAACTAGAAATTAGGGATGCGAAATACAGCCAATACACTAAATGATAAATACCTGCTTCTCATGGCTCATACCGATTAGATAAACAATAATTTCACATATTCGTCTTCCAAAAAAAAGGTTCATAACCTGTAATTTTTACACAGTTGATGGTAAGAAAGGCTAATATATAATGAGTAAAGATGGATGATTTAATATCCCACAGCTCTGACAGAACCAGATCTAACAGCCATCACTATTCTTAACAGATAATCATCATGGATCAATAAGTTTACTGTAATTTAATTATTGGGATAATGTATAATAACATAAATAAAATTATCGTGTGTCCCTGCTAGAAATGGAACAAAGCCCCCTAACAGGAAAAATACTGGTCCAATGCTTTATTTACTTTTTAGGGACCAACAAGTTTCAACAACTGGCACAGACACTTGTCAAATCTATAATCACTTTCACTTATTCTTTGATTGAATAGTTCCTGATTTAAATGTACAGCTGCTTAACATTTGAGATCGTATTTTGGTAAATGAACATGTTTATATATTAGATGTATCCCTTATATACACAATCTACCTACTAAGACACTCAAAGCCCTTTTTGAACAAAATCCCCTCCTTCAAAAAGGTGTAGACGTTTTGTCTCTTACCTCCAATAGTGCTCTCCTGGAATTCATGAAACTGGCCTTTGACAAAGCGCAGCACTAAGCTGGACTTGCCCACCGCTGACTCCCCCAGCAGCACCAGTTTGAACTGGCAGATTTTGTTTGCTACTGCGGCACCATTAGGCCTGGTTGCTCCTCCACCGCGCCCAGCCATTGACAGAGACAGAGACAGTTACAGATGAGACGGCCTGAGATGGGCTGAAACTTCAGGTTAACGAGGTGTGAAGACGGGGGGGCGAGTCTGGAAAAACAGGCACTGATGGTGAGCGAGGTCAGAAAGCAAACTCCCGGGAGGAAGAACTGGATTGGATGGGCAGTGACCCGGTCTACCTTTAAAAATAAGAACAGGTAAAATCAGTGGATGTACTTCTGAGAACACCTGCACAGAAAAATCTGCTTTCAAACAAAGATCTGATTCAATTTGATAAAACAAACAGTCTCATCTAGGAACAATTCCTTGTGTCTTTACCGATTATAGAAGTTGAATTAATCCGCTAAATATTTGTGAATATAACAAATAATCTCCTAAATGTTGTTTTCTTTGAACAACAGCTCTAACCGGAAAGATATTCAGTTTGCCATGTAAGACAAAGAAAAGCTCATTTGTAATTTTATTATAAAAAAATAATGATAATTTATCTTTAGAGCCGAGGCGAAAGGATTAGTTAATTGATTAGTCGATTGACAACTTTTTTGCCAACTGATTAATAGTCATTTTATTTTATTTTTTAATTAAAAAAATGTGAGGATTGAAATTGAAAATAGGTGTATTGTAGTTCGGGGGATTTTTGGACTGATGTATAAAACAAAACCTCTTAAAAAGTCCTTTTTGGGGTCACTATTTTCTAAAAATGTAAGGAGAAAACAATCAATTAATCAATCTAAAAAATAATCTGCAGACTAGTTGTATGGAAAAAAGTCGTTTTTCATTTTTATTTCATTACAGCAACCCTTTTAAAAAAATCTGCTTTCACTTTATAAAGACATTAATCCAAAAACATAAACATCATGTCACTGTTACTAATAATGACACAAGATGTGATAGGTCGTCCCCGCACTACACAGACTGAAACCCCAGTTTAAAAGTTGATTATATTTAATAAAGATGAACTTAAATGACACACAGCTTTAAATTGTAATCTTTTTTTTCCAGTCAACACCACATTCTCATAAACAATAGGTTAAAACACAACAATAACAACCTCCAAAATAAACAGATTACATCGCAAAAAACCGGCCACACCTGCCGATCTTCACTTCGACCGTACATCCAGACAGAAACACAACCAGCTGGAGGTTAGCTCCGAGGCTAACGAGCTCATCTGTGCCAACGACGAGGCGAGTTAGCGACGCTAATGTCGAGCTAACAAGAGAGAAAACACCAAAAGGAAACAGATAACATGTTAGTGTTCTCACCGACAACGACAAACAACAACCGCTCCGCCTTGTGAGTGGTGAGTTGTAACCGTGTTGCTCCTCGTTAACAACGTTTTCTCCTAAAACACTTTTGGGTTCAGTAGATTGTACGCTTCCGCCTTGTGGGACCAAAATACTTCCTGGATTCCTGCGTCATGTGACGCAACACGACAACCAATCAAATGTCCGGATTGTGAGGCGTCAGAAGCAGAGCCAATCAGCTCTGGCCAGAAGAAAACAACTAGAACATATTGCACATAATAATAATAATATTAATAATAATAGTAATAATAATAATAATAATAATAATAATAATAATAATAATAATAATAATAATAATAATAATAATAATAATAATCAGTAATAATAATAAAATAGTAATAATACTAATAACAACAACAATAATAATAATAATAATAACTAATAATAATAATAATAATAATAATAATAGTAATAATAATAACAATAATAATAATAAAAATAATAATAATAATAATAATAATAATAATAATAATAATAATAACAATAACAATAACAATAACAATCAATAACAATAACAATAATAATAATAATAATAGTAATAATAATAATAATAGTAATAATAATAAAATAATAATAATACTAATAACAATAATACTACTACTACTACTAATAATAATAATACTACTACTACTAATAATAATAATACTACTACTACTAATAATAATAATAATCATAATAATAATAATAATCAATAATAATCGTAATAATAATAATAGTAATAATAATAATAGTAATAATAATAATAGTAATAATAATAATAATAATAATAATAATAATAATAATAGTAATAATAATAATCATAATAATAATCATAATAATAGTAATAATAATCATAATAATAATAATAATAATCATAATAATAATCATAATAATCGTAATACTAATAATAATAGTAATAATCATAATAATAATCATAATAATAATATATGTTTTCTGCCACCAAAAATAAAAATCCCTTATGTTTAATATGATCACAGTAATTTTGGATCTTTCATGTAGAATATCTTTGTTTAGACTTTATTTTGTAAGATGTAAGATTTAAGATTTATTTTATTAATCTCCTATTGGAGAATTTAATTTTTATGTAAATTATTATTTGGACTACATTTTACATTTTTAAATTCATAGTTTTATGTATTGTTAATAATATTAGTAATTTATCATTATTACATTATCACCTACTCGATAAAGTGGGATTTACTGAAGCACCACATAAGGAAATACATGAGTGCTCACTTCAGCAATCTACCACAAGGTGGTGCAATGTGATAGAGAAAGACAAAACTTGTGTGCTCAGCAGTCCTATAACCTACAATAATATACAAGTTCATCATATCCAGCCCATTAGTTCACCAGAAGTCCACTCCTCATCCAGATCTTCAGCCAATCTCTAGACCAGTCTGTCTAGACTCCATTGGGGGGGATTCCTAGACTAATTAGTCCCTCCAGGGAGTTGTGAAGTTGCCATTGCAACAATAATTTCAACCAATCCCTGTGAATTATATGCAAACTTACAATTTGCATCAATCCTGCACAAAACATTGAGGCATACATTTACCAAACTCACTTTCTTTGTAGAAAAAGCAGCAGCTGCTGTGAAATCAGGCATTTTAGACCACAACAATCCAAAATATAGCCCTCGAAATCCTGCAGGGACTGAATAATCACAGCTACACCAACCACTTCAGTGGGGTCTAATTGCCAAAGACTCGTCTTTATTGTGCAAATGTCAATTAAATATATTTGCTTATTCAAAATGAAGTCTCTCCTGATTGTAAAGTGAAATTTGGCACACTACAAATTAGAGGTCAATGGTAAATGTTGAAAAGTTTTGCATTTATTAACATTTTATTATAATAACAACAGATTACAATTAATAAAATATCTTCAAATGAAAAAATGAAATCCTTACAAGTCCATTATTGACCTTGGAAATTGTAGTTTGACAATTCATTTCTTGCACAAAGTCTAATTACTGTAAATATTCCAAGCTTAAAACTCATTTTTTAAGGACCATGTGTTGAGGTTTGGCATGAACCAGACAACGTTATGATGGCAAATGAGAATGAGAATTGAATTAAGCTGTAAAACATCCTCATTGCTGAATTACGTTGCACAGATCAGTACTGCAGCAATGGGCATTTGATATACCGGGACGAATCATGGCCATGCAGTCAACAGCTCTCATACAACCCTGGTAGAAGGCGGGACCTGTGAAAACATGGAAAATGACAGGATGGAATATCAGACTTCTACAAGTTTTTTTTTCTTTTTAGAAAAAGTACTCTGAATTGGTCGAGCTGATGTATATTTTCCCCCTTATTGTTTGTTGTGGCTGTAACAGTTGGCCTACAAGAAACAGTGTACACTTACAGGCTCCCTCGCATGTGAACAGTACCGCTGGCCTCCACACTTACATATCAAGGCTTCACCTGGAAAAAGAAAAGAGAAAATCACATTCAACTGTGAATATTGACTGATTACTATCCTTTAGTTATAAAACCTGCTCATAACAGACATGGGAACACAACAGTTTACTTGTGCCACCTGGCTGGTTTTTAGAAGGATATTGTTCCGTTTTGGTCAAATAGACTGCAGGTTTTTGTGTTCCCTGTACATAAACTCACCCTGGCTGACAACCAGCAGTACCAGAAAAGCAAGAATCACCGTCTTCATGTTTTCACAATGTCTCGGTTGTACCAATGTCTGTATGGAAGAGTAAGAGAAATCAATTTGCTGTATTTAGCTGGGAACACATGTAAAGGTATCTGACTGATAAACTGTCCTCCTGCTGAGTTTTTATACCTTAACTGTTTGTTGTCAGACTGCCAGTTTTATCTGGATATGTTGAGCAATCAGTGCAAATCCAGTGTATCATTAACTGTAAAATTGTCCTCCAATATACTGTGTGATGTGGAGAGCAGTGTGCAATGTTAAAATCTCACCATGGCTTTGCTTGACAAACTGTGACTTTTATGGACTTTTATGTTTATTTCAGTCCTCGTCATTTTATGATAATTACAACAACACATCACTGAAAAATTAGAAGAAGATCTTCAAATGTAAGACAGGTTTAGGTTGACGGTGCATTGTTGACATTAGAAATGGACATTTCCAATAAGTGGACCTTGTGCCAAGATTGTTTTTTGTCAAAGTCAGAGAACTGTTTTGTAACTTAAACAATCTTTAAAGGGAATGACCAGATAAACAAAACAAATACAAACGAAGCAAAATACATAAAACAGAGATGTGACAATGATGTAATGTAAAGCAGGATGCAATAAAACATGTAGAGTTTTATGAAGTGTTGGAAAAGGAGGATTTTGATTTAGTCAGGCTGACAAACTGAGACAAACAGAGATCCAGAGCTGAGGAATCAAAAGAATATCAATATTTGTAATGAACGAAACACTGCTTCAACCCTAACCAGTGACGAGCCTGGATCTGAGAATCTGATTTTAAATCTCTCTACATCTCTGTATTAGATGATTTCTTTATCCATTAAATAACACTGACAAACAACCAAACAATACCACAATAGCAAGAATCACTGTCTTTGTTTTTTTCACAATGTCTCTGTTGCACCAATCTCTCTACGAATAACACAAGAGAAATATAATGCCAGATTTATATTTTCTCACTGTCACAATCCACTTTAAAAAACTTTAAGATCCCCTCCAGACATGCACTAAGACATACTACACAAATAGTCTGCTTATAACAATGTGTGGCTGTTTGATTTCTTCTGCAAAAAAAAAGTATATTTTCCACATAACAATCTTTAAAAATGGTATCTTCTCCTTTTACCTCATTAAAGATTCAAGAATCTATGGATATGCAAATGTTCTTCATATCCTGCTGGTTCACTGTAAAGTCCATTCTAAGTGGCTGGTTTCACAACAGTTTTCCAACAAGTGAAAGTTGGCACACTACCAGTTAGAGGACAGTGTGCCTTATTGAAATTGTCAGATGTGGCTTTGCTTGAGCTCTGCTTCAGGCATCCACAGTTAAACTATAAGGCTTCACCTGGAAGAAAAAATAGGTTTTATTCATCCTAATTAAACTAACTCTGCAATTTCATTATCCTTATATCTCATTATTGTTACATATTCAGTGTATTTTAAACTTTGGAAACTGTCATCTGGGTTCTCCTCACTGAGTGACTCATCAAGGACAGACATGGATGCTGGGAAAACACCCTCCTTTCAAAGCTGAGGAATCTGGACAAAATATGCTCCTAACCAATGATGAGCCTGAGTTTAGATGTATTCTGTAAGTGTGGTTCAATAGTAAATAAATGAAAGCTTTTATCTTTTTATTTCTTCTTCACCTGGAGTGGATATTAGTATTATGAGATGATTTATAAAGACAATAAACTAAAATATAATTGAAATGAAATATAATTTGTGTATACTGAAGGTTATTATTATTTTTATCTATAACACTATATCCATTCCTGCAACTTACTTTATTGCACCATAACCATAAATTAAGGATTAATAAATTAGATTTTTCCCCTAATTCTCTAAGTTTTTTAGGGTTTTTATGTCTTATTTTTTGGCTTGGGTTGCAGGAAGAACTGCTGTTATTCGCACACAAGGTAGACAATCAGATTTTTAAATAAACTTGACATCTCTCTCTTTATTGAAACAACACACTGTACAACAGTACAGGTTGTGATGTGCACTTCTGAACATCAGGCCAAGGTGGAAAAAGACTGTAAAAAAAAGTGATGTTGCCTTTTCTAAGAACAAACCTTTGTCATTATTATACACAACACTGTCTACTTTATATTAACACCATTTGATTAACTGATTGATTAATTTACTCTAAAACTGTAGATTTGGTCAGTTTGAGCTTTAGCAGTGATGCCAAAAAAAAGTAGAGGGTTAAGAATAATGAGAAATAAAAAGTCAAAAACAGATTAATTTGAAATACATTGCTCTTTAATGTTATAATACCAGAATGACAGCAGAATAACAATTTATCAGAGTTGATAGTCATGATGACGTTCATTTATCAGTTGCACTGATCTCCCCTGCAGCAAGAGGAAGAAGATTTCCCTGGACGATTCATAAACGTGCACAAATCTGAGCTAATGCAACCCTTGAAGAAGTTGGGACCTTTGAAAAAACATGGAAAAAGACAGGATAAATTATCATAGAAAGTATTACTTTCTTCTTATTATTAGTCACTTTATTGTGACCATCTCCTGTTACTGCTTCTCCAGCTGAGTGAAGACTAAAACACTCACGGGATTCATCATACATGATGACGGTGACACAGGAATCGCTTGAACGGTAGCAGGTCTCCACGGGGCTTGAGCATTTATTCAGGCCTCCACAGTTACACTTCAAGGCTTCACCTGGGAAAGAAACAGGTTTTCAACATCCTAATCAAACTACCTCTGCAATTTCATTTTAATTTAGGTAAAATAGACTGCATGTTGCACGTCAACTCACTCTGGCTGACAGCCAACAATACAAACAGAGCAAGAATCACAGTCTTCATGTTTTCACAATGTCACGTCTCTGCGCAGAAGTCTCTGTTTTAAAAAAAGGTGGGAAAGTGTGAGAAGATCAGACACCAATTAAATGCAAGAACACTTATTCAAAACCTTGAAGATAACCTACCTGAATGAATGTGATTGTCCTTGTGGAGAGTTGATACCCTGGCTTCCTTTTTATCCTCTTTTGTTGAGCAATCTTTTCACTATTGTTCATCTGGGTTTTTCTCACAGAGTGACTCACTGAGGACAGACATGGTTGCTGGGAAAACACCCTCTTAGACCCTTGAGTTACAGGGCATGCACTGTTAACACCATAACCACTCAAATAAGACATATTAAGAATACTAATAATAATGTTCTCAATATTGTAATAAGTGATAATAACCTGTTCAAGCAGAGATTTGAAAATTCGATGTAAAATTGAGATGTTGAGAGCTTTTCTTGCCAGACAGTATCGGTTTGTTTGACGTGTTTCTTGCTAAATCAAATGTTGTCATTATCATCAAAACACCGACATAAAGATAAAACATGACTTTATTTGTTTTGACGCTGTACTCTGTTTTCTGACAGGATACTGTGTTGTTGACAGAAGAGACCTGTTGAAACTGAGCCAGGGAAACTCAAAATGAAACTGAAAATAAACACGAATAATCAACGTTTGAGGGGAGTTTACGTCTTTGCATACAGAAAGTGAAACAGTTTGAATGAAATGTCCATAGAAATATAAAGAGCTAACATTGATGAATATAGCTGTTTTAAACTATGATCAGGAATGCTGAAGCTGCTGCTGCTAAAGTTCTTGTCCGAGCACACTCAAGTTCCCTCTCCACAAATACATGAAAGATACTGTATGTTCACTTATATAATCGGATAAAGAGTCGAGATAGATCAGAAACTCATTGAATCCACAGCCACTAATGAGAGAAACAACAGCCGCAAATCCTCTTTCGCTGTAAAAGCTTGGGGTAAACTAAGGTTTTCAGTGTAAGTGAGTTGGGTGCAGTGGACGAAACTTCAAAACCAGATTTAACTGGAGCTCAACACAATATGAATGTCAATTCGACATAACCCTGAAAACCATCTCAGCACCAATCTTCTTAAATCTGTCCTTAAATACCTTCAATGTTTAACCAAATATGAGGCTCCTGTAGCTCCTAGAACAGTTGATTAATCTGTATTTGTTGATTTTAGGTGGATTGCACTAATTATTGATTAACAAAGTTTCTTGTTGGTTCTGCAGCTCTTTGTTCTGATGTTTTTAGTCACAAATAAGAGAAAATATGAGGGGGCATCATGAATGTTTTTTAATCATCTAAAACAGATCAGAGGACATATTTTAACCATTTTTATGAAGTATAAACAAAAGAAACTTTACCCATCTACAATAAAAACTATACAAAAATCATGCAAAAATCAAACCATGATAAATTTGGGACATCATATTGATTAATCACTTGATTTTACCATTTTAGCCACAACAGTGACAGTAACTGTTATAATCAGGAATAAACGTTTTAGATTTACTGTAAAATGACAAAATTACTACAAATGGAGGACAATACCAAGAAATTATACTTTTATTTAACTGTATTTATTTAAGTCTTTATCTTCTCCAAGTGTCAGAGTACTGCACACCAGCCACCCAGTGAGAGTGTGAACTAATGGACTCATGTTTATACTTAAAAACTACAACTATGTCCGCTTTTCTTGGGCTATGAAACTTAAATAACCCACCGTATGAAACATTTAAGTCCTATGACATAACCACGTGTCAAACACAAAGCCTGACCTCCTGAATACAGAAACAGGTCAAGTCCAGTTTTTCTGAAGCTTTAACACAAAGTTCCTTAGCTTAAATTGGAGTTTGATATTAAATTATTAGACATTTAAGCTGGATTTCTGACTGACAAGAGATGTTCTATTGCAATTAAGCAGTCATTCATAGAATATGTTACTCTATTCTGTTTCTTTTCCAGAAAAAAATGATCATACATCAAGTGTGATAAGTGTGACACCACAGTAAAGACACATAGTATATTTCTGCATACTTTATTTTATCAGCCAAGAAGAAATCATTCAAAAAGAACAAAGTTCCTGAATACTCGGAATATTGTACGAGTATCATGAGTTAATGTTTTTTTCCAAGGAGGCATTTATATTTTGTAAATTAATCACAATACTAAATATTTCATGGGACCCACTTGTCATCTTAATATGTATATTTATTCATGTTTAATTTATCAGCAGCTATGTCGTGTTTATAGAATTGTAAATCCTTGAGAAATAATTGTTAAAGCTTTTATTTATTTATTAAATGTTTTTTTGTGGAGAGAGCAATTAAACCTATTTCACAGCGCTACCTTTAATGCCTTGGTGAAGGAAAAATAGGAAATTTATCCACATCTCCTGGAGGTTCTTTAAGAGAGCATACAACTGCAGATGCTCAGTGGAATTATAAATCAAAAATGCTGAACTGAGAAAAACATTCAATTAAAAACAATAAACAATCTATGCTGTGTGATGCACATACTCTATTCCCTATATGCAAGGTGAAGCATGTGTCATTTCTGTTCCTCGGTACATTTAAACATCCAGCTACTCTGACCTGTCTGCCTTACAAATACAGTATCTGTGTACACAATCAACAGGTTGTCATGTAGAATGCTTACACATTGATTTGAAAACCTTTTCCTTAGGAAAAAGAATAAACAACTTTACCATGCAAGGAGGTAACAGGTATTATCAACTGCAAATTGCTCTGAGGATGTTGGAAAAAATATACAGTATATACTGGAAGCCACAGATGTGGAACTTTTTTTTTCTTTAAAAAGACACACTTCAATAAAGCCAAAATAATGCACAAATTACATGCTCTTGCATAGAAATGGTGAAAATTGCATGGAGTTTGACAAATATGAGAGCCCAGGACTTAAGAGGGGTAAATACAGCACACATTGACAATCTCCAGCTGAATCTCTTTAAATACTGTCAGAAGTTGCATGTTAGTTAATAACTAGAGTTATTAAGTAGAGTCAGTGAGTCTGCCCCTGCAACACACACAGTTTAATCTGTGAGGTCCAGACACCACGACTGCTCTGAGCTCTGAGTCTGGACGCCAATGCTGGACCTTCGCGATGATGCGCTTTCACTGTCCCTGCTCTCCATAGAGCCCCCGTTCCCCAGTAGGCACTCTAGACTGGTGTGTTCTATGGCCGATGGGTCGCCCAGTGGAAGGTGGGGGTCCAGAGCTTCTGATCGAAGTGATCCCGAATCCAGGGAGGATCCGAGAGGTTGGCCTGTCAATGTGGGTGGAGAGGCAGACAAAGGGTGGATTGAGGAGTGTGAGTCCTCGATTTGGAAGATGGAGGTGTCCTGGAGAAGATTATGAGATGCTGTGGTGGACATAAGCACACAAATGTCCTCAGGGTAGGAACTGGGTGGCGAGTCCAGCAGGCTGTGTGTGGACGTACTTGTAGGGGCACTGGACAAAAGGCAAGAGTATTCATCACTATCGCTGGGAGGCTGCAGGCACAAAGTGGGCTGGGACTGGCTGATGGCGGTTGGGCTAGCACTGAGAGGTCTGAAGTCAGAGTCTTCATGTCCAGCATGAGGTGCAAGGCCTGGACTTCCACCCTGGAAGCCTGGGCTGACGTTAAGTAGAGACGAGCTGCTCCACAGATGTGCGGTCACGCTCTCAGAGCCATGACACGGGCCTAACCTGGGTGTAGAGTTTACAGACAGGGGCGGACAGGAGTTAGCAGGTGGACTAGAGGACTGAGGCTGGTGGTGGATCTCTGTCTGGGTTTCAGCAGCTGCGCTGTAGCTCCAGTGATTAGCATGTGGGACGCTTTGGTGGCCGTGGCCTTCATGGCTCCCAGGATCGTTGTGGAGGTGGTAGGTTGAAGCTAGGTTAAAGGGCATACCAGTGTTGGGGGCTGTGGGAGGGCTGGACACCATTTGGATGCCATATGGGTATGAGGGAAGGGAGGCTTTGTAGTGTTGTACAGATACGTGGGCCTGGAGGAGGTGCATCATGTGGTGCAGGCCCTTGGTGAGCTCAGATACTTCCTGGTTTAATGTGCCCATCTGGGTAGAGAGTGCACACAGTTTAGTCATGACATTTAAAAGACTTGGAGCATATTCTAGTCTACCTTGCATATTCTGTTATTACACTGAACAAACGTTTTCCAGCTTAAATAAAAACCAGTTCTGCCCAATTAAGTCCCCAGCACAGAGTGACAAATTAATCAGCTTCTATCTTAAGGTTTAATCTCGGACCTGTGTTCAGATATAATTTTCTGATGACCTCCCAAAGGAGAACCAAACAATTCATAATCCCTTCTGTGACTCTAAGAAATAGCTTCTTATGCAGTACTGAAATCCAGAGGGACACACACTGAGGTAACTGACGCAAATAGGCAAGAAAGTAGACAGAAACTGGGAAGAAGGGAGCGAAACAAGAGGCAAAGGGGGCCAGAGAAGATCCCCAAGTAGAGCTGTTAGAGTTGTCATCAAATTTTTTTTTTTCTTTTGTCGAGTCAGCACTCCCGACTATCCTCTGCATTGCAGAGAGTGCCCTGCTGATAATTAATATCGACGTCAGACAGCACCTACCTGGGCCCATCTGGATCCTCTTGCTGCACCTGCTTTCGCTCTATTTGCATTCAAATTTATAGTGCAGGGACAGATACATGGCAGAAAATGAGTCTACTAGATCTAAGTGGATGTTTCTTCCTGTAGATCTACAACCATGGCTGATTATTAAATGAGAGTGCCAGAAATGCATCTATGAAGAAAGCATATGAATTTTGGTTTATTTACTTCCTGTATTTCATATTCAGTCTCTCTGAAATACTTAACAGACAGGAGCCAGAAGGAATGATGAGAAGGACACAGAGCTGATTCTACATTATATTTGGTCCAATCTGTCTTAATTTGGGTTGAGGGGCTGTACCTTACCTTTTGGTTGAGTTGACTGATGCTCTGTCTGACCTCCTCCGTCTCCCGCAGCAGAGTGGCATTAGCCTGTGTGGAGTCTGGAGAAATGAGGAGGAGAAAACATTAAGTAGCTGATTCAGTAACACACAACTCAGGAACACCACTGAGAGGATTTATCAATATTAATATGAAACAAAATCATGAGTTCAGAGGACACCAAATTAATTTACTATGATATATTTCATAAAATATTATGTAAGATATTGAAGAGCTATTGCATTGAATAATGTGAATATATAATACATAATATTATGTCTATGCTTATGTCTATCTATCTTAGGAAACGGTCTTGACTCTATGATGCTGCTCCAGTATGTTAATCCATAAGAGGGAAGCTTGTGGTGACTTTAAACTGGAGCAATATGACAGTAAATGGACCACAGGAGCAACTGTGTGGAATCAATTAGGCACAAACATGAAACGAGATAAGCAAAACACAAGGAACCCTCTAGGAGGTGCTGTAGGATGGCCAGAACAACGAAAAAACTTCTGTGTTGTGCATCTCTGTTGTCAAATCACTCATTATACTAAAGTAAATTAGTAGGACTTCAGCTGAACTGAATTGGATACTCATCCCAGAATAATCGTCAGTGAAAGCTCAGGTCAGATGATCTGTTCCCTGCTTTGACCTCTGCAGTCTCTTAACATGTTCTCTGACTCTTCAGACACCTGGCTGTCATTTCACTCCCGTGCGCTCTCATATTTCCCCAGAAGGAGGCAGCGCTGCATTGTTGTAGCCGCTGTTTGAACTCTTGAGTTGACCTCCAGCCATCTGGCACCCAGGTGACTCTCGCAGCTGGTGGCGGTTTGGCTTACCTTGGGTGGTGCCTCCTGTACTGGCCTTAGGCCCGCTGTGCTCCACGTTGAAATGGAACGTGTGCCCATTGTCTTCGATGCCGTCTACAACCCTGGTGGGGAGGGGTGAAGAGGAGGGAAGCTGGAGTTAATGTAACAGTAGAGCTTTTTCAATTATCATCGGAGCCAGCAGACGACCCAGGAATGTGCCATGAGAGCTGCTGCTGGCAGAGGCCCGTGTGGGTTTGAACATGAGGAGAAGAGCCCAGTCTGGAGGGGTTGACACCTGAGCTCTATGAACCAGCACTTACCCATATCTAGAACTTACTGGATGACTTAGGGATACATTATGAATACAGATGGTTGGGGCAGAAGGATAAGGTGCTGTGGTAATGAAATGCAGTGACATATTGTTGAAATATGCAATGCAAATACACTCCATTTACATTAAGTGGATGATGCAGGTTTTTGTAGCATGACTTAAAGTGTCTATTACTGCAGCACCCAAATTACATAATCTCAAACGCTTTATGGCTATCATAACTAGGATGGTTGACAAAATGATATGTCTGTCAGGCTGAAATGAAAAGAAAGACATGAAGTAGAAGGCGGACTGTTTGACTACGGGCAGATTGGACCATAACAAACACAGAAAAAGTGGCATGAAAGCCAATAGTAGAGTAGTTCTACAGTGGATACACATTTTAGGGGCTGTGCCAGATGTTGAAGTTACTGTATGAACATTTCGAGACAATAGTGTGAAGGTACTGCTTCCTCTATCAAAAACTACACAGTATTTAATTGGGTGGGGGGTTCATTCAATTATTTAATTTAGACATTGTATTTGATAATAGGGTTCACAATACCTGGGACTAAGATCTGGGGGTCCAAAACAGGTGACAGTTGGGATGAGCAGCTTTGAAGGCTTTTGCTCAGCCCCTGACTCTCCCTGGGCTGAAGACGTTGAGGCTCGGGTGGCTGTAGGGGTGCCATGCTCTTTTTTTGATGGTGCCTGAGGAGATGAGCTCTGCCCGTGGAGGCCACGACTGAGGTTTGGTGAACGGCAGCGTCGCAGGGCGTTGAACTGCCGCAGCTCATCCCCTAGCAGGTTTCCCAGGGAGGTACGGCGAACTGGGCTGCTGAAGCTGGGCAGCAGGAGGTTGCGACGGGAGCGGGTCGCTGGAGAGAGGTGGAAGGTGTCATCAGGGTCGTCCCCCTTTGTTTCCACGATGGAGGGGAGCCTGGGTTCCTACAACACAGCAAATACAACATGCAGCGTTTAAAACTGTACAAGTTTTCTCTAATGAAGGGTGATTTTATGAGTAATCTAGCACATAATAACCTTATTTACTTTAAAAGCTCTTGATGGTATTTTAATTACATTACTTTAATCCTGTCGCAAATATTTAACGCTCTAACCACAAGCTGCCTGTGTGTGAGTAAAAACCACTGGTTTTACATTAAATGTAACTTTTAATATCAGACCAAGCGAGCACTGTACACAGTATTTTAATAGTAGAAAAATAAGGTGGGGCATACAGCATACAGTACATAGTGAGACAAGTGGCTCATAAGGTTTCCCATTAGGAGAGCTACTGACCCAGTTAGCGAGCTAACTCCGGGGACTGAGCTGCTCTCTCTGTTCCAAATGAGTTTCAACCTGTAGGGGAAGTCCTTGCACAAACCCTCCCATGGTACTCACTAGCAATACAGTATGTCCCAGAAAAACACGGGGGTTTTACCTTGAAAAATCAGACACAAGCCCGCTAAAAACCAGGAACTGATATGAATGATACAAATAAACACCTCTTACAGCAACTGTGTTGTGGCCCTGCCTGCTCTAATGGCATTCAAAAACAGACTTTTATTATAACTTACAAGAATGTGAAAGAAAATGAATAACACCACCTCTGAAAGAAGAAGGCTGAACTGAACTCACGTGAGAAAGCCTGGGGGACCTTGAGAACCTGCTGTGGCCCTGCAGGAACAAAAACAAGCAACAGGGATTACAAAAGACACAGACTCGTGTATTTATTCTACTTTATATCCTCCTTATTAAACCTTGAAAAATGAAAATGAACCCCGGCAATGACACCTTTGGAAATAAGAAGTGTCCTGTGAAGTTTTCCTGTAAACAAACAATTATGTTTACATTTAGTGTTACTCATCCAAATGCATCAAGTGTATCCATGAGGACTGACAAACGTATTGAGTGCATTTACTTCCTCACGAAACATTTGCAAAGCCAATTTTCCTTCCTTGCTCCATAGAGGTCAAATCCTCCACAGGGAACCTTTAATTAATTTCATTTCTGGCTTTGCATTTACAAAACTGTGCAAAATTCTAATTTGTTATTCACTCTTCTATCCACACGAACTCTTTCCCCTTTTGCTTCTATTCTAAATGACCTTGGCGAGTAATAAAGTATTTTTTAAAGTCCCTTTTTTACACTTGATTGCACACAGATTCCAGCAAAAGTTTTTCTTTCTGCTGGTGTGTGAATAGCAATTTGCCATAATCACCAGCTGGAATGAAAATAAAACTGTGGTAGTGTGAAGTCTTGAAGTCTCATGTGTGAAAAATGTGCTCCTGACAACATGGCTTAATGTGACAATGCAAGCCACAGTCTGTCACATACCGGTATAGTGCCAGTAATGCTTTTTGACACATGAAGCCAATTCACTGAGACTACGCATTAAATTTAATCCTTCATTGAAGCACAATACGATGATCATCCCCCCTAAAAGGCAATTAAAGCAAAAATATAACCCTAGATGTGAAGATCTCGGAGTCTATTCAAGGGATAAATCCTCCTCATAAGGAAAACTAACCCTGGAGCAACATGGAATGATTAACTAGCGAGTGAGAAATATTAGTGCCAAGTGACGTTAATTGAACATCAATATCAATTAATGGGGCACTGATGCCACAAGTGTCCCACATAATAAAGTGGGTTTGGAGGGACTTAAATGAGAGACTTTTTCCTTTCACTCACTAGTGTGCTTGTGCTGTTTGCACGTTGCATGTTTGTCTTTTTACAAGAACAGACGTTTCTTACAAGGTCATTGTATTCACTTGAGTCACAAATGAAGTGTTTAATATATGTTAGTAATGAGTAGAGTATTAGAGCCCGACCGATATGGGTTGTTTGAGACCAAAACCAGAGATTACCGATATGGTGGCTGATACAGTGAATTTTCGAGCTGTAATGAAAATAGACTGCACTGATACCACTATGCAAAGCTACCCAGAACGCTGCTTTCTTAAACAAATAACTTTTAAGTGAAATATTTTAAACATGTTGAATGTTAAAAATATAAATAAAATTTAACATATAGGCTACATTGTCAACTTCTACAAAGGAACCCTGAAATAAATAAATCAGTACTGTACAAACTATAAGACTATTTGCATAATACCCTGATCAGCCATAACATTATGATCACTGACAGGTGAAATGAATAAGACTGATTATCTGGTTATCATGACACCTGTCAGCGGGTGGAATATATTAGGCAGCAACTGAACATTTTTTCCTCAAAGCTGATGTGTTAGAAGCAGGAAAAATGGGCAGCGTGAGGATTTAGGCCGAACAATATACCGGTAGGACTCTATACAGTATGTTTGGTTTTTGTATAAAGTGCACTTTACACCAACTATGGGGGATGTTTTACGTGATGACACGACTTGTGGCCTCACAAAACCCCCAAACCATATGAACAACCTCCTAAAACCAACCGTTATAGGTAGAAAAAGAAGTGTAGTTGAGCAAACGCTTGGTTTTGTTCCTTACCACAAATGTATTTAGAAAGTGATGCTGGTGGGTAAATTTGGGAGAAAACCCACCTGGAACAGTTGATGTGACATTTTTTTGTCATCTTTTCTCTGTTCTCCTTCAGCCCACTCCTGGTTGGTATTGTTATCCCATCCAACATGTCAAAACACACTGAGCTCATCCTGTCCCTGGCTTTTTGTTTTTGTGCACTCCCACCACTGGTTACCAGCGGCTGCCTTCATCAACTTTGTTCAACTGTTGTCATATGAGGCTCCGAAGGGGGTTTCATTCCAATAACTCCTGACTGACCAGCTTGTTCTTCACACTCCATGACTACTGACTACTTAACACTCCCTGTGGCGACATGGTCATTATAGTCCAACATATTTGGACTCAGCGCTGGCTCCCTGGTGGTGGAATGACCTTCCCACCCTGCCCAGGACAGTACAGTCTCTCTTTATCTCTCAAAACTCACCTACATTAACAACTAAGCCATGCTCCTAACAGGTTTTTGCACGAGTGCATACAACATTGACATATCATTATTTTGGAATAAAATATATGGAACTTGATAGCAAACAGGTATTTACACATCCAGCAGTCACCAGAGCAGAGCAACATTAGCATTTATCTTGGTCTTTACCAATCCCTGATAGAAATATGTGACTCTTTAGCTGCTAAATGCTCAACTATGTTCACCAGCCAGGTGCTAACTGTGTTTGCCTGATGTTTGGTGCTGGTGCCAGTGGAAGTGATGTTCAGTGGGTTTATAGTGCATTTTCACAGCTCACTGTAAAGCTCCATGAAGCAGAGGGGAGATGCAAATTCAGCTGATAATTCATAATAAATAATAAATAAATAATAATGTCATTTTAAATTATTGATTATAGCTGCTTTAAAAAACAATACCAATGTGTAGTGTTTCTTGCATTATTAGAAGGTTTTCAATTTATTTGAGCCGTCCAAATGAGACACTAAGCTACAATCATAAATTGAAAGCTTAAAAATCAACTTCAAAGTGAAATAAAGGGTTCTTCTAATATTACAGTGTAAAAAAAAATCTGTCTCTGTCTGTGTGTTTACAAAAACAAAGCATTAAAATGTGTATCTTCCCTCCCAAAAGTTATTAAAAAGAATTTAATTGACACCACTGCAATAAAAGTTTAAATTGAATTACAGAGTTGACAACAAAAAATCCTCATTTTCCATCTGGCAGTCTGGGATTTTCCCTTTTAGACAAGATAAATTAGTCCCATTTGGATACCTTATACTGTAATAGGCATTCCCACAATCTGTTTCTTTGGCAGTATTTAAACCGACTGATTGCTGTAGAGTCAGCATAATTCTCAAGTATCTCTCATGTGTAAATGGACCTCCAATCGTACAACAACTCCCACCTCAAACCACCCACTGTGAGGATGTGGATGAGACCAGTACGACTGTATGGGTTGTGTGTGTGTGTGTGTGTGTGTGTGTGTGTGTGTGTGTGTGTGTGTGTGTGTGTGAGAGAGAGAGAGAGTGTCAGGGGACCTGGCAGCTCGGCCAGGTAGCTGAGCACTCCTTCATCCTGTCAGGGGGGAGCCAGTGCTCCGGCTTTGTGCTTGAGCATAAACTCTGAACAGATGGTGTGAGAGAAGTAGAGAGCAAGTACTTGTGATCAGCCACACCCCAGAGACAACTTGTTTCAGCATTAAAGACTGTAGCAACTGTTTTAATGTAAGTATGTATATGACTATATTTATTTTCAAATTCTTTGTTCACAGACACAATCACAATAGTTAACTTAGCTTTTAGGGATTCATTAAGGAGCCAAATTTGATCTGTGATGTCTCTTTATGGAATGAAATTCCTCAAACACAAGGATTCTGTTTTTGAATCCCTCATTAATACAGTTGAAGCCGTTTTCCTGCAGCATGACTGACAAAAAGACATCCGGTAATTAACACGGCCAGCACAGATGTCCTGTCCTTCATGTTCCAAACCAAACGAACCAAACTAATGAGCAACCAAAACCTTCAAACAATAGGAGAGGCCTGTGGGAACCAAGAGGAATGCTTGAAGCAAGTACAAAATGTTTGAGACTGACAATAAGAATAAGATTGGGAAAGTCCTTCGGGAGCTTTGTCAGTTTTGTCAGTCACACATCAAAGACATCTTGGCATTGATTTGTTTTGATCATACGGTTCAACACAATGCCATGCTAAACAGCCATTGAACTTGTGTTGCACTGTTTCTGTAATTAATTACATTAATCAATTTTAGATTTCAAGGTGCATCTTTAAACAGATTTTATAACCTGAAAACATGCCTATATGTGCGACATCAACAGGTGCATTTTCCCCACAGATGGAGGATTGTCTTGCCTTACGTAATGCTTTCTTAAATAACTGTTAGGGGTAACAGGCAGCACTGAGAGGAGGTCAGTGTCTGGGTGTAATGTCATCCTGCTGTGCTTTGGGGTGGCAACAGGCAAGCGATACGGCTGCCTGACAGTGGCACCCACGCATGGTAATTGGTGTGACAATCAAGCCACCAACAGCCCTTTGGTCACTGTGGTAGAACAAGTGTCAAGGAGAGTGACAAAGGCACCTTAGGGGGCACAAATGTGTTATCTGCTCTATTCCACGGTCAGACAAATGTAGGGGGAAACGGTGAGGTTCTTCTGAGATGCAACGTAAAATGGAACAATCTAAAACACATACATTTATTGATGTCAAATGATGCAACAACAATGTTAAAACAATCAGATATCTGGGTCCATTTTAGGGAGTAAACAGGATCAACAGATATATGTATAATAAGAGAAGATTTTAAAGGACCAATGTGTGGAATGACTATTTCTTGACTCTTTTGCACCAAAGATTAACTATCATAGAGGTTGATATCCATTGTAGAAGTGGAAAAAATTCTAGTTTCTCCACTAATAACAGCCCCATTTGGCTAGAAAGCATCACTACCACTTTCTTCATCATTTTATTCTTATTTACTGAGTAAGACAGTGGGTGAAGGTTTGTGGGTTGGTAGTTTTAAGCATACTGAATCAAAGTTTTTGTAAAGTATATAACATTTTAAATAGATGACTGTAAAAAAAGGAACCCTAACCAATGCCAACGTTTTTTTGTATGCAAGTGTATGTATTTAGTACCTCGTCCTGGCTGCCCTCCCGCAGGTTGTAGGTGAGGTTGTTGTGGATGTCGGAGGCGAACACACTGGCGTACTCAGGGTAGAGTTCCAGCACTTCTCTCAGGCCACGCACATTGATATACTGGAGGTCACAGTAGGTCAGCGCCTTCACATCAGCATTGGTCTTGATCACCTGGTCTGTTCCAGGCAGGTCAGACCCAATCAGGTCCCCTTTTCCTGAAATCAAAACAATAAATATTAACTTTCTAGCTCCCTATTATGTTACATTAAAACCTTAAATATGATGCTAAAACAAGTCCACACAAACCTAATATTGCCAGCACCATGCAGTCTTTCAGCACCTCCAGAGACCCGGAGCAGACGAAGTAGTTGGCATGCAGTGCATCGCCTTGACGGATGAGGTACTCCCCAGGGACGCAGAAGGAGGTTTTTATATGGAGGGAGAGCGAGCGCAGGCAGCCACGACTGGCCCCCTTAAAGACCGGCAGCTGGAGGATGTCCTTATTCAGATGCATGGCGATGTCGGCCCGCAGCTCGTCAGGGAAGTCGTGTAGGAGCTGGGGATGTGTGACAGATGTAATGAGGTGTGACACTGATTGGTAATTAGGGAATGGACTGTGTCGCCACCAGTTACCCTCTTTTGAATTTCAATAGGATGTCAATTGCTGGTGTTCAGGCGGCCAAGTGTTTGTGAACGATCATAAACAACTACAGCTGCAAAGGGTTGTGAGTGGATTGTAGAACAGATTTCAAATGTGCTCAAATGTTATTCAAACATTGCCCTGAAGTTTACAGAGGGCAGAGAGCACCATTACTAAAGTATTACATGACAACAACAATGAAAGGGTCCCCTACCTCATTGGCATCTATACCATTGTTGACAGACCACGTGGTCTGGAAGTACTCCAGCATACGTTGTTTGAGCTGCTGGGACAGACGGTGGACACGGATGAAGTCCTTCAGGTCCTTCATGCGTGTGTGGTAGAGAGAACGTCGTGAGTACATACGCTGGATGATGGCCGTCACATTACCGAAAACCAGGGCGTGCATCAGCGCTGTGTGAGACAGAAACAAACAGCATGGAAGACAGTAAATTATAGTTTATAGCCTGAATATTTTAAAAATAAGATATTCTGTTTCTTTCATTTGAATGGGTTAAACTGTAACAAAAGAAAAAATTACTTTTCTTACTTAAAATAATAATTCTATATTGATAACTACCCAATCATCTACACTTGTTAATGATAATTTACTTATTGATCCATACGGAGACAATAGTAATTTACAGATCCTGTTCTGACAAGCAGTCTGAAAAAAATTTAATCTACATTAAACACAATAATTATCTTCTGGGTTGTTGAACCAATAATTGCCACCTCAGCTAAAATAATCTGTTTATTGGTTCATAAAGATGGCAACAAGCTGCGTCCTAAAGGCCAGCCAAACCATCCAACCCACTTCCTGCTGAATTTCTTGCCCTGGCGTGCCGAAGAGAGGCACTGTTATGCCAGGACACCAGAGGGAGAATGTACCCTGGTGTCAGACATACCGCCAACGAGCATGGTGCAGATGGAGAAGATCTTCTCAGCATCGGTGTTGGCGCAGACATTGCCAAAGCCCACACTGGTCAGGCTGCTGAGGGTAAAGTAAAGGGCAGCGATGTAGGAGCTGTGTACTGTCGGGCCGCCCACCGTGCTGTTGATGTAGGGTGTCTCCAGACGTTTGCCCAGCTCATGGAGCCACCCTTGAATGAGAAGGTAGAGCAGAAGAGAACAATGTCAAAAAGATCTTATTTAGTTATCTTTATGCCTGTGTGTCTGCTGTCAGCACAGTGCAAGGTGGTAGTGGCAGGATTGTACTGCAGTGCTGGTCTAAGAGAGACAGATATTGTGATATACAGGAAGATTAAACATCTGGTCCAGTCTGCTGTGCAATGTGTGTGTATGTGTGTGTGTGTGTGTGTGTGTGTGTGTGTGTGTGTGTGTGTGTGTGTGTGTGTGTGTGTGTGTGTGTGTGTGAAGACTTTCAGCAGTGTCAGGAGGCTGACATGTCGGTGCGGGACAGGGCAGAATTATATTGGTTCCTCCAGGGATAAATAAGGCAGAGTGTTAATTAGCAGGTATGACCTAACCTCCTTATACACAGAACACACTGACTGAAAATTATGCACACTCACACATACACACACACACACACACACACACACACACACACACACACACACACACACACACACACACACACACACATTGCACAGCAGACTGGACCAGATGTTTAATCTTCCTGTATATCACAATATGTGTGTTGCTGTTTATGGTTTTTGATCTGATTACTCAGATCATTTATAGAATAGTTTTTGATCACGTTTTTTTATTGTTCTCCATGTCGAACCATTTTAAAGCAGTGACATAAACATTAGTATTAGCATTATCAGCATTAGTGTGCAGCTTCCTACCAGACATTTTTTATATCAGCTTCTGATCTGGTTGCAGACAGTCCTCATTAGAGTGCCAGAGTATGGTGTTCGCCAGCATCTCACCACTGAGCAGAGCTAGACATCCCAATAGGTGAGACATGACTATTTATAGCTGAGTGGGGACACAACAAATGTCTACTCAGTGTGTTGGCCAAATCTAGTGTACGGTCTTATTAGTTGGAATATTTGCCTTTTTAAACAAGGAAACAACTGACTTACACAGCACCTATGGAAACTGAATCAAATCTATATAGTCAGCACTGTGCTTATGTTTTGAAATGAGCAGTTAAATAAAATATTAGATTTATGATGGCACATGGTAAAAATCTGTTGGAACTATTACTTCATATATCCTTTACACTGACAGGAAAGAATATTTTCTTGCTCTTGCTAGATGAAACACACGACCTGACCTTCATACTTCAACAGCTTCCGCAACGCTTGATCAAAGTCAGACTCACCAATGTCCCAGGTCTCATTGGTCTCCAGCTCCTTGCGTCCAATCATATACCAGATGCAGGCCATCCAGTGTGCCAGCAGGGCAAACACAGACATAAGCAAGGTCAGCACCATGGCGCTGTACTGGGAGTAGCGATCCAGCTTCTGGAGAAGACGAAGGAGGCGCAGCAGGCGTACAGTCTTGAGCAGGTGGACCAAGGAGGTCTGAAGAGGAAAAGGCAAGTATGGGGGGCATATTGATGGGGAAAAGGAGTGAGAAAGTGAATCCCTCTGCTTTGTTATATCTAGAAACACACTTTGACTTTACATATACTAAATATACACAGCTGAATATCACAGCTTGGACAAGCAGTGACTTTTTATGCTCAAACAAACGTGCTTATCCTGTGTAAAATTCACTATTGAGAGAGCACTCGTCACACAGGCAGGCAGGAAGTGGCAACGGATGCAATTTACTATATTTACTATATTGATTTACTGCTTATGTCAGCACTCATGGATGGCAGGGCCCTTTGAACATGTTATTGGCCAATTGTACTCACCACTGTGATGTTGAAGGCATACAGCAGGTCAAAGGGCAGGGCGGCCACCAGGTCCACAAAGAACCAGGTGGTGGCGTAGTGAATGCAAATGGGGCGCGACTCATACACCACCTGCCCCGACTGGCTCACGAAGGTGGTGCGGAAGTTCAGGATAATGTCTGCAAATACAAAGGTTGAAGGTAATTATTTTTCTCAGTGACTGAAAGAAGGCATAGCCATTTTCATATTCATTAAGCTGGCTGATAAAATGAAACAGATTGTATACAGTAAGGAAAGAAGTGTCACAAGCTCAGATTCAATCCCAGTGGTTCACCTGTATGTGATGTACACAGCTGGAATATGTCATTGTTTTAAGGTATCCATATGGATCATTGAGTTTGTTTGACAAATCATCTAACCCCAGTGTCAGACTGTTGCCAGCACATAACAGGCAGACCTCTGGGTGTGTGTCTGATGAAGCAAATCCTCATCTGTCATCCAAGCTGTCAATATTTGCAGAGATGATGACATTATGAATTTCAGTTAGGAGAAGTTAACAGAAGCTAAGATGATGAAAATGATGGTGGCAAAAGTGTATTTCCAAATTTGAGAAAGCGTACATAGCAATGTGCAGAGCAGTGTTAGCTGTATAAATCATTAAAATTCTAAATGTTGGACACCTCCTCTCCGATATATCAAATTATCTGAATGCTTTTTGCTGGCATGTCTTATTTTGAGATGTTTCAATTAACGATTAATCATGATTTCAAAAGAGAAATAAGAACTACAATAAACTCTGAGAAGTCTGGGTAGTGACCAAGTTAATGAGCTTACGGAAACAAGCAGGAAAAAATCGGTTTCTCCCTAGCTCCCTGGCTGGTGGCCTCCTTCTTCATCCTCAAGTGTAGGTACTCAGCAATCTGACTCCAAATTAAACCACTGTTTATCTACACTACACTACACTGCAGCACGTTGAGGTTGAGCCACCACAGTTCATCCCTTGGGTGCTTCCCTTTGGAGGTTAACCAGGCATTACCACCTGGGTGGAGTCCCTGCAGAGACACAAGACATCTTGAAGGGACCACAAGAGGTTGCCTGGAACTGGGGGAACTTTCTGGGGAAAAGAACGCCTGGGTTGCTCTTGTTGCCCTGTTGCCATAGGTGGCAAGAGTGGTAAGAAAGTGGACAGATGTTGGATAAAAAATCTCATGTCACAGCATAGAAAATGTAATGAATGCACAACAGTATTATTATCAGCCTCTAAATCAGTGGATAGAATTGGCTTGATGATGGTCATAACTAGTAATTAGTTGAGCACAGTAACTTGTTTCAACCCTCACCTATAATGAAGAGCATTTCCACTACAATGTCGCTAACGATGGTGGAGCGTGCAGCTGTGACAGTGTCATCGTACGGCGTGAAGCTGACGTTGTAGGGCACGGTGACAGCCACGTAGAAGGTGGCCAGCAGAATGAGCCAGTCCCAGAGGGCTTTGGACACGCTGTAGTGGAGCAGAATGAAGCGCGACTTCTGCACTGCTGCCACCTTGTACTCAGGTATCACAGGCTTCTCAATGATACTCTGTAAGAGAACAGGTAGACTAAGTGTCGATCACATACTTAAAGCCATACGTTGATAAATATACAAAACACGTTAGAGAAGCTGCATAAATGAATAACTTGATAACCAGATGGTCACGAGGTGGAGTGCTGTGAAAATAAATGATAATCAGATGGTCATTGCAGTGCCAAAGATTTTGCAGAAACAGACAATGTAAATGTCAACACCCTCTCTAGTGCTCTGACCGCTGATGATTCAGTATGGTAGGCAACTCAAGTGTAACAGACTGCTGGTTATCTGTTCTTGACAGCCTACTATAGACAGTGATAAACCTTTTAAATGGCCATGCATTAACAATAAAAAATGACAGAAATAGGTCTGTGGTCAGTGAGGGAGAAACTTATAACCAACAATGATCCCTGATAATTTCATACATGACTTGGCCTTGGCTTGAGTTCATCGCTCCAAATGCCATTAGTGCTGTAAGTCTCAGGTGGTACAGTACAATGGCAGTTGAGCCATTATAAGGAAATGAGGGGAACTGGAGTCATGAGCTGCTTTTATTTTTGAAAGTCACTTATTCATTCCACTCATTTATTTTTTTTATTGAGAAAATCCAATTGCAGAAAGTATGAATTGCTATTGCTGATGAGGTGGGGAGTCCATTTCGGCACATAATGAGACTGCAGCTCTCCAAATGGGGCCATGCACTTGGCGCATAATAGCCTTAACCATGTTTAGGAGACAGGAGGAGAAGCTATTATCTTTGTCAGTGGTGAGAGGGAAACAGAAAGGGGTGATAAATGAGCAGTAATCCATCCGAGAACAATGTGGCCACTTCACAAACAGGTGTGGGCAAGCAACAAGGAGGCTGGTTAATGAAGTCTTAACAGGAGATTTCCTTGCAAAGGCTCTGAGTCCAAAGCTGCCTGGTTGACTCGAAGAGAATAGACTGACTATTTGAAAGTAATTGGGAGACAATTGACAACCTTTTCCGAAAGAAGAGAAATGCCAGAGCAGAATGACCCACTGCACTGTGTGAATGAAGGAAAAGAAACATGTTCAAATTGTTCCCAGTGAAATGTCTGTTAGTATCTTGTGTTATACTGGGAGCAAACTGTTCAATTTGATTATGGCTGCTTGACACTGGACAATTTCTTGTCAAAAGATACTTGGTTTACCACGGTATCCATCAGTCAGTTGGTTTTTGTGGCTTTCGTTTGTAACCACAGTGGTAAAACTAGAGGAAGAACCTTGCTGACAGTCATCAACAGCTGTGACCGCCATGATGATAGTTCAAGTAATGTCAGCAAAAGCCAGGCTGTTTTTTTAATTTGCCTTACATCACCGAGGTCAGGACGCCCACCCGACCTTTGGTACTCGAGGCGGTCAGCTGAGCACATCCAAATGATTAGAAAAGAAAAGCCCAGCACTGCAGGGACACATGGGCGTGCATGTCACACAGCTACAGCTGGTCTTCGCACTTCATTAACTCAAGCTGCAGCCCAGAGCTTACTGTTCCAACTACATCTCCCAGCATCCTTTGGGCTTTAGCGCTGATAAAAGCCTGTCCTTGATGGGGAAGAGGATACACATGGATTGCCATGTGACAAAAGAATCTAAACTATTGCAGAGGATCCTTCAACCTTTAATGTGTACCACAAAATATAACTTAACTTTTCTCCAGGTAATTATTCTTGAGCAACAAAGCAGCAGGTGTACAACACGTGATTATCACTACACTTACTAGGTTTTACAGTATAATCTTCAATTCCCACAGTCCAGTTGTCTCCCACACTAAACTGTGTTAGATTAAGACTAAAGATAAACAGTCACTCAAAACACAAACTGAGAGAAAGTAAAGTAACATAAAAACCGCCTCCAGACTGCACTACTTTTTTTTCTTTCATAGCCCTTTGACAAGTGCATTAAAGTGAAAAGAGGCAAGAGTAGCTCTCCCCTGGGAAATATTTGAAATCAAGTCTGAGCGACTTGTCAGCATGCCACGGATTGGTTACAGTAGCTGATACACTCATGGGCTGACAGCATCTAAACTGCCAGAACAGACAAAACAACATCTTAGTCGGTGTTTGTGTGTTGGTAAGGAGCCTTTAGAGAAAGAGAAAAATTCAAGCTGAACATGTTATTCAAGGAGGTGATGTAGCGTGTGGTAGACCATTTAAAAAAATAATTGTAGTGAGAAATGTGCAACTTCTGAAAATCAGGGAACAGATTTTCACTTGTAAATGATATCTCTGTCTATGTTTGTGTGGCTGTGCTCCTATTTAAAGATATATGCATGTGTCTATGTTTTCCCAGCAAAACAAAACAGCACCCCCCCCTTTCCTTTTTTGCCTGGCAGGCCGATGGGCTACAAATAGAGATCTAGTCAGAGTGGATCTGGCTGGCTGTGGTGTGGAGGCAGAGGATCACATTGTTAGCTAACTGCAACTGAGAGACAGACAGAAAGGAACAGACAAAGTGAACGAAAGATGGAAAACAGAATGGGAAAAATATAGTCAGAGTGGGAGGATTGCAGTGAGCAGAAGTATGGTAGAAGTACTTTGATCCATTTTACTTAAGTAAAAAAAAAATCTATATTTTACATAAAGTAAAATATTCTATTATAAATTAAAGCTCTGCATTTACAATCTCAGTAAAATTATCATTACAAAATACCTAAAGTATCAAATGTAAAAATACTTATAATGCAGAAAACTGCACATTTCAGTGTTATATTATAAATTATATTACTTGGTTATTATTACAGATGCATTATTGTGCAAACAGCATTTTATTATTGCTGAGGTGGAGCTGTTGGATCAATCAATACATCATATTATATAAACTGATTTTATATAAAATCCTTACAGCATTGGCGCAGAAGAACAGTATTTAAGTCCTCAAGTTCAGTACATGTATACTTGTACTTACTTAATTGAACTTATTAAAAATTAAGTATTGGAGTGGATGGAGAGCTTTAATATTTGAGCTGCAGTAGGAAAGGAAAGGAAGAGTGACTACAGAGTGACAGATAGACAATATGGGGGGGAAACAGCAGGATCCAGAGGGATGAAGCCAACATGAGAGGAGGGTAGAGTGACAGATGGAGAGGGAGAGAAAACGTGTGAAAGCAGCAGAGAAAGAGGAGGGAAACTGAGGGCACTGGAAAGGATGAGGGTAAGAGATAAAAAAATACAGAGCCTAGCTTAGCTTTACCACACGTTTATCCCGATTTGCAATAATAAATAACAACTTAATGAATGCTAATGACTCTCCAGCAGTGGCTCACAGCCCTGCTGGAGAGCTATGGCTAGAATTAGTTAACGTTAGCTCATTAACGTTAACTAATTATATACTATTTTAAACATCAGGATGACTCAGAAAGTACTTGCATTATATGTCTTAATTACTCGAAACCAACCTTCACAACACTCAATAATTCTTCCCACACCTTTTTTTTTTTGTAGTGAGTTTAATTTAGCGAATATTAGTGCTTTTTTTTTTTTTTTTTTTGAATATGTAAACTTTAATCTCCTATTCTGCTTCAACCCTTTCTTTTATTATCATATTTTCTTCCCGGATATGAATGTACATTACTCTCCTTTGTTTGACACTGTTGTGAAGATGAATATATAAAGATGGCCAGGCTGCAGTAACTGGTGCCAAAAACAACATGAAGAATATGTGTTTTTTGGGGGGGCATCTGTGCCTGCCTAATAGCTTCACTCAGTATTTATATTATTATGTTTTAAGGCAGTTTAAGGAAATTAAAGTGACGACTGCATGAAGAAATAGTAAAATTGTGTCAGAAAAAACTAAAATTATTGAGGAAAATGTCTGTTTTAGGGTTTATGTTAGCTGACTGGTGTATGTGAAAACATATTATCGTTAAACAACGTGGGTTTTTTATTGCATTAATGTTATATGTCTCACTTTTTATTTTATTTATTAAACACACAATAACAAAGATACAGGAACTTGTGGAGAACACATTATTAAAATACAACAAGAAACAAAACAGGGGGATTTATAAGCGTAACAACATATGGAAACATAGAAACTAGACAGTAAATCGATCTGCGGGAATAAATAAGAAACAAAATAAACCCATGAGGAGCAAATAAAACAGAAGAGGGAATAAATGAAGACAGCAAAAAGCGTGAAATATCCTCCCAAATCTTCTGTGCTATTTTGGTGGATAAAAAATTATTTAAAGTAATTCATACAAAGGAAGGCTTGCTATTTTAGTGTAATATGAAATTTACCCATAAGAACGATCATATAAATCATGTCAGAGATAGATTAACGTATTAAAACACCTTATAAAAATCAGTATTAATTAAATCCAGTTAATCGAGCACATCAAAAATCAGTATCGTATGATTGTGTATATTTCTTCCCTTTATAAAGGGAAGAAATATATGTTTGTGTTAATATGTTTGTGTTAAACCCGTCAGTCATTACATAATAATGTTATTGGTCTCCAGTTATACAATGAAATTTACCCCTGTTGGGTTTTGGGATGAGAAGACTTTGCTTCATAGTGGGAAAATGTTTCCTTCTGAAATACATCGTAAAAAAGACTTATACAGTCCAAAAAACTGTGTAAAACTTCCCGGTTAACCTGTCATGTCCTGGTGACTTCTTCGATTTTAAAGACATCTTCCAAATGTTGGATGAATTCAACGTCCATCATCCTAATGGTAAATGGTAAATGGACCTGTACTTGTATAGCACCTTTCTAGTCTTCTGACCACTCAAATCACTTTTACACTACATGCCACATTCGCCCTTTCACACACATTCACTCAAGCCCATCGAACAGAAACTAACTCACTCTTACACATTCACACATCGGGAGCAATTTGGGGTTCAGTATCTCGCTCAAGGATACCTCAACATGTGGCGGGAGGAGCCCCGGGATCAAACCAACAAACTTACAATTAGTGGACTCTCACACCTCTTGACCTCTTCCAGACGTCCTCCTGAGCGGGTTCTCTGTTGTTTGAGGTTGCAGCGTTGCCCTTCCTTCCCGTATCCACAGTCTCTCGCAGCTGATCCACAGACAGAGGCCCAACTCTTGTGAGTATCCCCAATTTCCCTTGTGTGTCTTCTCCATCTTTTTCAGGAAGACCAATCATTCTCGAGATCCATCTCCTTTTGTAGCGTGGGCTTGTTCCTCACATGAATTTCTTAGTGAGTTGTTTTCTTTCTGAATATCACCAATTTTCTTCTGAAACACAGTGATTTCCTCCTTGTTTTCTTTAATTGCCGTTGTATTGGCTTCACTAAACCTTTAAAGAGTTCAGTTAGTTCATCCATCTTACGGTTTAGAGCTCGCTCTGCGTGAAGAATCACAGTGTTGGTACCGTCATCCTGTCTTTTGTAGCTCTTAGCTTTCATTTTTTTTTTTTTTTTTTATCAATGTGTGGGTCAAATTAATTCTGTGTTCCTTGGACGTTTGTTCCTCCACTTCAATATCTTCGATATTGCTTGGAGAGCTGCCACGTTGTAGTCGTGGTCAATCTTTTTAGCAGGTACGCCGTCTCAGTTGTAGCAAAAGACTTTGGACGTTAGTATGGCTGTGACTTTCTTTATCCGTGTACCTTCGACACTGCGTAGTCTTGCTTTACAATATTAGATTACCAACCTTTGCAACGTTCAACAAGTTTTTTCATACTTTCTCTTCTCTAACGTGAGTTTAATTTACCGTTATTGTTAAGCTAATGCTACATTACTTTTAACCGGTTGAGTGCTGTTGCTATGTTATCTACAGTTAATATTGTGGCTTCAATGCCTCATATTTTAGTTGTTTTACGTGACAATTTTATATAAAATCCTTATAACAAAAAGAACAGTATTTTTCCCTCTGAGTGTCCAAGTATTATCTGTGATTAAAACGGCCTCAAGTTCAGTATGTGTATACTTGTACTTACTTTGTACTAATTTAAAAATTAAGTATTGGAGTGGATGGAGAGCTTCAATATTTGAGCTGCAGTAGGAAAGAAGAAAGGAGAAATGATTTAAAAGTAGAAAGAAAGTGGGGGGCTACAGAGTGACAGATACAATACGGGGGGAAACAGCAGGATCCAGACGGATAATGCTGAAATGAGATGAGGGTAGAGTGACAGATGGAGAGGGAGAGAAAATGTATGAAAGCAGCAGAGAAAGAGGAGGGTGGTTAAAGCTAAAAACAGGGAAACTGAGGGCACTGGAAAGGATGAGGGTAAGAGATAAAAAAAAAGACAGAACACAATGCAGAGGGTTTGGTAAAAACCCATGCATACAAACAAGCAAACTGTTTAATCCCGAGCATGTTGCATTATTATAGCTTTGCATCTGATTCCCATGCACACTGCCTTGTATCTGTTTAATGCTGGTGACAGGTCTGCAAGGTAAAAGGTTTTCCAGAGTCACTGATAGAATCAAAAGACGGAGTCAAATGAGCTGTCAAAGACCCAGAGAAACAAAAACAACACCTTACAGAAACACATCTGATTTGTATTCTAATGTGTAGATGTTTTGGTTTTGGTTTCATACATTTTTAATATGCTGCATCAACATAGCCTTGTTCTAAATGTGTGCTTATGCTGGAAATGACTCTTTATGGTCGTACTGTATGCTACTGTTGTTCCCCTAAGGTTACAAATAAATTAGGCATAAGTGCTGTCTTGTATTCTTCTGCCTGGAATTAACTGGAAAGTGACTCAAAAGTTGAAGAAGTTAGTCAGAACTAGAAGCCAGGACCTGCTGATGTGGCGATTAATAAACACTTTAAAATGTTCTGCTAGTGGTGGAGGTAGGATGAATGGAGGACCAGTGGAGGTTATGGAAGAGTGTAACTTTGTGCATCTGTGATGAAGAGGAGAGACAGAAAGCATTAACTCTGATTGCTGGATTTCTTATTCCCTTATTATTTTCTCTACATTTATACGTGAGAGAGAAACTGTGTTTGTGTGTAAATACAGTCTCATGCTGAGAGTGCCGGAATAAAATTTGAATGATAAATACTGTGCATCTGATTCTGATTCATCCGAGTGTGTTGATGTTTTGCCATATGTTTGTCTCCGCTCTCTCCTCAGAGGGCGAGCCGTCGTTTACGCGTCTGCTGTTATATGTGTGAATGTTTTTGTGGAGTGTGTGTGTGTACGGTGCATGTTCTGTAAGGTGTCAGTGAACAGAGTCATCTGTAAGTAGGTGGGATTGGAAGCATGGCAGCAGGAGGTTTGGCAAACAGAGGTGGGGGGGTGGTGGTTTAGTACATTGATTCCCATGAAAGCACCTACAGGTTGGATCTGAAAACAACAGCAGAGCTTTTGTTTCTGGAGGTGTTAACAGGATGCGGGTCAGCGGCGTACAGGTTCATGTGAGGGCATGTTACCACTGGCTTTTCAGAAAACTTTGCAATTTTAGTTGAACAATTGGGGTATTTTAAAGGGCTGTAACTAATAATTATTTTAACTGTGGAGTTAGCTAATGCTTTTTTTCCAATTACATATTTAATAATTTGGTTTACAAAATGTCACAAAACGGTAAAACAAACTGGAGATCACAGTTTCACAGAGCTATTGCTTGCAAATTGCAAGGTTACAATGATATAAAGAAAGCAACAAATTCTCACTTGGTTGATGAGGTCGAACATTAACCTCCTCAATTAATTCATTTGATTTAATTCAACTATTTGATTCATTGCCTAATCATGTCAGCACTAGCAATTTAAATGTATAGTTTAAAGTAAAGGTAATTTCCTTTGGGCCCCTAACAGTTAAGTACAGTACTTCTTCAGTGCTTGCTTCTTTATTTTGTTATGAATGGTTGGTTAGTCTTTAACATATCAGTTGGCAAACACAGTTTGACCAGTCACTGCAAAATTGCAAAAAGTGTGAAGTGTCTAAAAGGCAATTTTCATGTCAGATTCTCTCATGTTTTGTAGGTTTTAACAGCACTGACTATGGGGAAGTCAGAATTTGGTGTCAGGTAAGGGGCATACCATGAAAGAGGCACTTTAAAAAAAAGAGTGCTATTCTGGTAACATTTTTATTGGGCTTCTCAATTTTAGTGCGAAAATGAACAAGTGCTTTCAGTGCTTCAGGCACATAAAAGGTAAATGAATCTCCAAAACTACACAACAGTCTTTCCGCCCCTCCCACACGTTTTTCATTTTCAAATGCTAATATTAGCCTCCTGAATCACACATGTCTCACAGGCTTTCAACATCCTTTTTTTTTTTTTTTTACATTTTAATTTACCCCTGAAAAGTTCTGAATTGCTTTTAGCCCCCTGGGATCAAACGCCACATTGTGAAGGACAGGTTTGAGTGCAGACCCAGTTGGTAACTGAGCCTCTGCAGGGAGGCAGCGGGATTATCTCAAAACGGTGCTCCGCTAGAAAAACTGTTCCCGTTTGTATCTGAGAGCAAAACAGGACCTGTTTCTCATGAATAACATTGCTTGGAGTGTAACTTTATTATTCAAAGCCTACAAAGGCCATTGTTCTGTAGAAACAAGACACATGGGAATGAAACAGACCGTAGCTATGGGTCTATTTTACCAAAACAAATAGCCTCTTAAGGCACTTGAAACACAAACACACTTGAAAGACACATGAAGGGAACTGCATGGGCAAAATGAGACACTTGTGAAGTCTATTTCTTCTTACAACTATACGTTATCCTACAGATTGTACATATATATGATACTGAAGCATTAGACACAGCAGCTTTAGCTGGACCTAAGGGTAAAGGTAATTTAAGGGAACATGCTGGTGACATAATGACCTATATCCTGGAGCTCCTTCTGGTGAGGTGTTAAAATGTCCAGACAGTCCCAAAAGAAAGTGATGATAATGATGCATCCAGCTTCCCGTTTAACCAGTAACACCTCACTGTCTGTAACATACATCTCGTACCACTTCTCTCTCAGTGCCTTTGCTATTTGTCTATTTAAAGCCACCAAACAACTATCATGCAAAAAAAAAAAAAAAAATGCAACAGAAGCAAGATTAAAACTATTCAGGAGACTTAAAATAGCAAACCCATTTGATGAAATTTCCACTGAGATAAGCTACACTGGGAATCTGGGTCAAGACTTCCCTCACATTGTCTTCCTAAAAACTCATCTTTTAGATATCAGCATTAATAATTCAAGCTCGAGATTGAGGGAGCTGCATGTCTGAGTAACTCCTGACTGTTTAATCTCACAGAGGGTATATTAAGGGGCACATGCAAAGACCATCAAAGCCAGCTCAGGATGTATGTGAGAGTGGTACAAGTACTCACGCCACCCAGGTTGACCTCTCTTTTGCCTCCCCTCGAGAACTGGCTGGTCAGGTGGTACAACATGGTGCGTCCACGCTTCCTGGCCTCGCTGAAGTGAGAGCCGCTCTTCCTCCTGCGCCTCTTGTCCTCTGAGCCTGTCACACAGTCACTCAGATCAGCGCATGTCATTTAGATCACAAGATTGTGTCACAAGAAATTTGACAAAGAACACATAACACTTTATTTAATGCAACGCCTGAACTCTGCCAGGTTTTATGTGCTGAATATTGTTTCCCCTGGCACAGAGCTTGGCATGTGCGGCAGACTGTGCCCAGGTTCCACTTGAAGACACACCGCAGCCCAAATCAAACTCCCCATTGCAAAAACATTGTCTGAGTTCGGTGAACAAATGCCAGCCCAAACGAAACTGCCGGGTGAAATGTGACAGTGATGAACAAGAGTGCACGGGGAAAATGAAAGCCGGGGGCCGGAGGATGGCCCACTCGTAAATCATGCTCAACGTAGGCAAATAATGGGAGGGGTTTTTTTTGTAAACAGGGCTTGTAGCCTACCGTCCTTCTTGCTGTTGTGGTGGCTCCTTCCATAGGTGTCAGTGATGTCCTTGAACGAGAAGAGGAAGAGGACCATTTCGCCCTTCTCGTTCTTTATGGGCACGATGTCTAAGAGACACCAGAAGGCCACACCTGGAACAAAATCAGAAATGTTCGTTTAGTGCAGGATTTATTTATTTTTTTCTCTCCTCATTTGGTGAATTAATGCAAATCCTCAACAGGCACATCCAGGACTGTGATTTTTCCCATGTCATGTCAGCTCCCACCATGTCTGAGCCATGGATAATTGTCAAGTATGGCATAGCCTTTCTAAAAATACACCACAAACTGGATATGGATAATGTTCGGGAGAAAGAGAAAGAGCAAGCGAGAGGGATGGTTATAACAAGTCAGGCAGTGAAGGCGCACCATAGATCCAAGACCTTGCCATAACCCAGTATGCTCATTAGCAACTCTGCAGAAACTGTACTCTGCCAACAAACAGATGTTTCACATCTCCTACAGTGTCCCCAGTGTGTGTGTGTGTGTGTGTGTGCACAGACAAGGATAGAGGGTAAGAGAACAGTGTAGATGGTGGTGTTTTAGCACAAGGCTGTGGGTGTAAATACAAATACAGAAAAGCTATTTGTGTGCGTTTTGTGCTCGCAAAGCAGCAGGCACACACTCGATAGGATTGTGTGTGTGTGTGTGTGTGTGTGTGTGTCTACTGAATTTCTTTTAATGTCTGACTTTATCATGAAAATATTGTACCAGTCATGAATATCTGCCTGTTGGATTCTAGCTTTAAAATCTTACTGCTTCTCTTTCATTTTCACTATCTTTGTTCTCTTTTGCTTTTCTATCGCTCATTGTATTATTTTTGGTCATATACAAATGCTCGTGTCTTTCACCTCATTAGTTGCAGTGGCTTTGCTTTACTGTTACAGAAGAAGTAAGAAAAATGCATTTTTTTTTTTTTGGCCACAGTACAGATTTGGTAATCCATCAGTATAATTAGCGGTTCACACACTTTGAGGTTGTAGGTTTGCAGTCTCTCTTGAGCAAGTTTAATCCCTGTGCGCCAATCAGAGGGGCTTAAACATTGTTGTATGCTCTCTTTTCGTACATGACATCGTATTTTTGGTCCAACTACGTGAGAAGGATTATCTAGAAGTCAGAAGGAATTAGTTAAATTCTGGATCTAAGCTACTTTAATAAACTCACACAGAGACAGCCTGCACAGTACTGTGTCCTGCTTTTTGACTGACTTTAAGCCTGTTAATTCCAGCACCCAAGTTTTCTCCATTCAGCACCTTTTTCCACCTATGTTAAACGGGTTACTAAGATGTGCTGACAGCAAATTTTCACTTCATCTGATGTTATTTGTATTACAAATAATAAGCTAACAAACTCCAACAAAAGAAGCTCTGTTTAAAATTCTGCATCACTGCGGAGATGATAATTCTACCAGCTCTCGTCTAAAAATAAATGCGCTCTACATGATGTCGAGAACAAAAAAGAAAAAAATAAATCTCACAATTTAAATTTCACTCTGAAAACTGAACAGATGATCACAGCCTGATCACAGCAGAACAGCATCTAAAAGTCTCACCATTTCCCCTGTTAATAGGAGAATTTGATCAACTGAACAAAAGATGACAGGAAAGTTAATTGCCTGATGACCTCTTTACTTCTAAATGAAACAAAGTGCTGAGCTCTACAAGTTATGTAGAAATAGGCTTTTTCTTTCTTTACAATACACCAACCATTCTTCTTGTAGAAGTGGACCTCAGCCTGGTACTCCTCTCGGCCCTCCAGAGCCTTCTCCATCTGCTGGGCCACGTGCTCGCTGGTGTCGGCCCCGTACAGGAAGTGGCAGCTGCAGTTCTTCTGCATCACCTCAGTTCTTGTGAAGCCCGTCAGTTCGCAAAAGCCGTCCGAGCAGTAGACGATGGGGTAGCCGCGGTGGCCCTGGGCGTTGCCCAACAGGAAGTTACTGTCTGTGAGAGGAGGAGCGGGGGACAGGAAAAAGTGTTAGAAGAAGTGGAGCATCATGGAGGCAGAAAAAGGTATTTGAGTTAAGGTTCAAGGCCAACGTGAGGAGCTGCAAATTTAGAATTTTTTGAGTTTTTTTGCTCAAATAAATCTGAATGCCACTGAGTAAGAAATCATGAACAGTCGGGTGCATCGTGCTTTAGTCTGAAGTTTGACTCCAAATTTGTTCTTTGCACTAGAATCAAAGCCTGTTTAGTTGTTTGAACTCATGTCAAAGCCTTTTTTTGTAGGTTTAGTTCAACACCAGTTTACAAGTTCAAAGTAAACATGAATCAGACTTTGGTGTAGACTCAATTTAGGGCTAAATTAATTTCCCCCGGGTCTGATCGCCTGGTGGTGGTCAGGACTTCTGATGTAGGCAGTTGAAGGAATCACCGTCCTGGACTGCAGACGGCGAGATATAAAAACAGCTGACTGGAGATTAAAAGGAGCACAAAGGTTAGTGATTGATTCCCATGTAACTGATTGGGTGATGTGGACCCTTAAATGACCAGACTCTGTACTAATTAAAAAAAATTATTGCATAATAGAGAGAGCATGAAAGCGCAATAGAGACAGAGGAATATATCTGAATAAACGAGAGGAGGCGAAATTTTTAGGAATGGCTGAAAAATCACCTTAGACTTTAGACAACAATTTTAGACTTTAGGGTTAATTTATTATTAAATTCATCATGTATTTGGATGTTGCTGTTGCAGATTATGCTGTGCTTGTAGAGGGTCAGATAAAAAAATGCTGTGTGCCTCCATGACCTGAGGAAGATCCATAAGATCCACACGTCTAAATGTCAAATTGAAGTGGTGGTGTGCTGGCTTTTACATCACACCAATCATAGGATGCAAATATTGCACTCAGCACCAAAACGTCTCTGCTTTGCTTCTTGCCGTGCTATCAGCACCAAGGACAGTTCTCCAGCAGCAGGCCTGTAACTTGTGCTGTTTTTCTTGCTGTATTTTTGTCTGCAGGACATAAACACAGCACCAGGCAGCCCTCTGTTCTGCATACCTACATATATATTAATCTTGGTGATAGTTTGACGTCACACTTTTCCCTCAGTTGCTAGACTCAAGTGACCTTGATAAGCTGAAGCTGGTTCTTGCTGCAGTGTGTGCTTCTTTGTTAGGCAAACAATTTGGCTATGTTGTCTGCCAGAGTCACCAGTGGAAGTAGCTTTAAAAAAATAAAATACAATACAACCTGTTCAGTTCTTTAACATTTCAAAACAGAATACACAGCAACATACACAGTGGTGCTAAAACAAGATAAAAACTAATTAAGGGACTTCCACTTTTGCGCTATTTGACAAATGGAACACAACCTCTACAGACAGATTAATAGCCGACAGCTTGAAAAATGACCACGTGCTTCAGCTGAAGCAACACCTCTCGACAGAAACATGAGCTTTGAACTTTGGAGTGCAGTATGTTGTCCTGTTATTTAGTCCATTCTCTGCAGATACAGCATGGAAACAGAAGTGGCTGTGGTGCATCCACGGCTGCACATGTGAATCCATACAAGACAATGTTGATGTTTGGACTTTTATTTTTCCTTAGTTAATATTAGGCTGTGTTATCTTAGTTTGTCTAGTTTATTTAAATGTTATGTTTTAGTCTATTTACCCTGTGTCTCAGAGTGGCCTGATCAGCCACTATTTAGGTTTCCCCACGTCTCAGTTTAGTAGGTTGGTTCTGTTCAGTTTGTTAAGTTAATGTAGCGTTAAGTTTGGGTTAGTTGACCTCTTTTATGGACCCATAACTTTATTGTATATTTTGTAAATTGGTTATTTTCATATTTTTTGGTGAATAAAATTACTTTATTTGAAAATCTACCTCCTCATGCCTGCCCGCTCCGTCCCATACACAGACCTATATCCATCACTTTTAGTTATGCATTTCAACTTTTCTTCTAGGTCTTGGAAATTACCCTCTATTTACTGCAGAAATACTTGGGTGAGAATACCACACTTATATATCTATTGATCAGGCATAAATACATACTTATGGAAATATTTATGCATATCTGTTTGTTTATTCTTTCAGTAATAAGGCATCAGACTTCTTTTACTGTAAACATCAGACTGCACATTTTCTGAATGCCCATCAGAGCAGCAGCATGCATACAGTACATACAGAGAGACCGGTCTGAATTCTCCAGATTCCACAGAGCCCAAGAAGGAGGAGTATTAAGCAGCTGCTGCAGCGCACTACACAATCTAGCACTTTAATTGGCCAGACTAAGCAGAAAGCAGTCCATAGGGGATGTCTTCTCTGAGCGGTGACAACCTTTCTTGGGTGTGCAGTGAGCAGCAACTAAACTGTCACTGTGGAATTATATAAAGAGACAGGCATTAGTTGGATCCATCAACAGGCAGAGGTCTTATGTCTGTGCTATGCATTGCTGCTGTTGCTGAGATATTTCTGTTCTATAGTCGGCTGCGCATCTTTGTGTTTACTGATTTCGTGAAGAGAGACTGGTAACAGTTGCTTTCGATCATGTGGAAGCCTTTTTTTTTTGCACATTAAATCATAACTCTGAAGACAAAATGCTCTGGAACGCAGTCTCTGCCTTTTCACATCTAAAAAAAATCTCCTTAGAAACAATGGCTGAACACGATGTGATTGCCTATCTAGGTAAAAAATCAAAAACAAACATGACCTCTTTTTCATGTGCTATAAATTTCTAACACCCAAACTCAGTGAGCCAGCAAGTGTTGGATAGCAACCGCATTCATCTCTGGTTTATGTAATGTTACCTAAGAATAGGTACATTCTCTACTCAGCATCCCTAAATCGGTCCTTCAAATAGGTCAAGGGCAGGTGTAGTCATAAATCACTTTGTGAGGATGTATTAAAACCAACCAGCCACAATGGGAAAAAAAAACATTTTATGCTGCGTTTGGCAGTATGCAAACGGTGTTATCTGTAAGTTACCTGCATGGTTCCGGGTAGTTTTATTGAAGTTAGGATGTTTCATAATTTTACAGTTTTTAGCTTGAGTAAAATGCATTTCAAGCAATAGTCTGAGATTTCAGGAAATACACTTATTCTCTTTCTTGCAAAGAGTAAGACGAGGAGGTCAATACCATTCACATGTACTATGGTAATATGAAGCCAGAAGCCAGTTAGCTTAGCAGAAAAAGACTGGAAACAGGTGGAAACAGCTTGCCTCCAACCAAGAAACGGTTTGCACAAAGCGGCCAGTAAAATGAATTAGTTCGTAAACTTTTTTTTACATAATCAGTGAGTTTTAGTTCAGAGTCAGGCTAGCCATTTCCCCTCTGTTTCAAGCTTTTATGCTAAGTTAAGCTAACTGGCTGCGGGCCCCAACTACATATTTACCATACAGACATGACATGGTATAATAATCTTCTCATCTAACTCCTGAAAAGAAAGCAAATACACCAAATTATCTTTAAGATATTGATGCATATCTTGTTTATGAGTGGACAATTGTATTACCTGGAAACAAACATTTACTCAAGGATCTCACTTCATTCACTTCAGCTTCTACAATTGCATACTTATTTCTTCTCTGGCAACACTGTACTCAAGCAATCCGGCGGCCACATGAACCCCACTTGACAAACCATTTCTTTGAGTGTGTGTGTGTGTGTGTGTGTGTGTGTGCGCGTGTGTGCGCGTGTAGGATTGTGACAATGCCTCAATTCTTAGGCCGTAATCCTCTGAGGGATATTGCTTTGAGTGGCCGCTCTGCTGCACCAGCTTCCTTAATTACACATCTGTGCTGACTTGCTACAACTGTAATCTGACATGATGACGCTACATGCTACAGCTAACAACAAGCAGCCTGAATCACGTCCGTGTTGCAGGAGTTCCTCTGTGTCTTAAAGACAGATGAAACCCATGAGGCTTGGCCACTGCCTCATCAGCTAATTACCACCCAGCAGCATGTAATTACTTATTGGGGCAGAAGGGAGAGAGTGCAAAGAGAGGTGGACTTGCGGGGGAAAAGGTCACTGGTCTGGTAAAGAGGCATGAGGAGAGTCAGTGGAAATCATCAATCAACTGTTGTGTATTTTTGATGTCAGTCATTAATAAAAAACATTTTCTGGGCTTTAGAATGACATACATAGGCAACATCTAGTCCAAATAATGATTATTGAGAGCTTGTTTGTTCTGTTGTTATGAACCATAAAAAAACCCAAACCCCAAGGGACTACATTTATGTTGTGCCTTTATTCTGAGAATGGTGCACACCCACTCACACCTACATTCACACACCGATGGAGGCAGAGCTGCCACGCAAAGTGCAGACCTGCATATCAGGAGTCGATTTAGATTTCAGTGTCTTATTTATATATTTAGGAGAAGCCAGGAATTGAACCACAAATCCTGCGATCACTGAATGATCTCAGTTAAAGACTCTGACGATGCAAAATCAATGCTAAGATCAAACCTGTAAAACTAAATACCAGGAGCTTCAAAAGAAGCACCAAAGGATGAGGGCACACAATAGCTATCCACTCCGCTCCTGTCTGCAGTATTCTGGCCTCTTGCAGCTGCCTATTAAGACCCGTTCATCAGCTGGGTAACAATGAGCTCCATAAGGTTCAGTCTGACAGTCCTGGCTCCCTGTCTCCTCTTTGGTTCTTCGGTCGCCTTCTAACGGAAAAGTGTTTAGGGGGAAAATAAACCCGGTTCTTATCTCTGCCTGCAGCTGCCCTGTGGTTACGCTGCCCCACAGGGCGAGCGCTGCTGTCAATGTAAAAACACCGCCGGGGAGGTCGTGTAAAGAAGTTGGGGGAAGTGGGGATGGGTGTAAAGGACAGGCGTGGATGCTATAAAACACACGCGAAAGGCACAGCACGCTGGTGGTGCAAGTACTGGATGATGTGACAACAAACATCTGCCCTTCTGAAGTTTCCCAGAGCAAATGATATCTCCAGAGGTGATTTTCTGTAACATGACTCTCACCTTTGACCTTAAAGAATTACCCTCCAGGGATCAATAGACAAACATACAGACACATATAAAATCAACATATATGACAAACTCACAGCCCTGAGACCAGGAGCGTACATACACACGAACAAACACACACATGCACACGTATCCTTGGGGAACAGGAACGCTGACATTGCCATGAGCCAAATGCTGTGCTGTGCTGTGCCAAAGGTTACTGACTTAACCTGTTCTGACATTTTAGGAACTGTTAAATTAAAATCAACATAAAATTGCTTTCAGTTTTCTAAAGGTCTTTCCTAAGGTCATCACAGTCTAATCAATATTTGTGAGAATTAATAACTCTCGCTCAAGCTGGAGAAACTGCACTGAAACCCCCCTGATGGCATAAAAATGTGGAATATGAAGCTGCACAATGCATAATGACTGGGAGAGCTTTTAATACCAAACTGTTCTATTTTCTGTCCCAGTGCAGTTTACAAGTGGTTATGCTGTGCACAAAGGCACAGTGCGGGGTTGTTTTGCATACAGGAGGCAGTCTGATTAATTATATGGACATGATGCAGAATAAATGTAATAGGATAATAATGTTTACATAAATAATTGTCTGATATAAATTGTACTCATTGTTTAATTGCAGACTTGGCAAAAGGCTGTGTTGGAGTGACACATTAGATAAAAACTCTGACTGTGTAGCTGCTCAGTCAGCAGTGTTGCTTTTTTTAGTTTTGCTGATCTTTTTTACTATCTTTTAAGTCTTTTAAGTTCTATTTTTTACATTTTAATACACAATACATACGGTTTGTTATGTATTATCTGTAAATTTAGTTTTGATGTGTTTGAAGAAATGCTTATTACATGAGCATCATTAAATAATGTCAGCATAAAGATTTGATATACATTTATTTATCACAATTTCTATAATTTCTCCGCATTCCTCTGGTCACACTGATGCATTTACGAATACACACCATACTTTCATACATACAGAAACATATACAAAAGATTTGATATAGTGTAATTAACTTTACCTCAAGCCTTTATTGAATATTGTATATAATTTATTGAAACATGTATATAATGAGGCTAACATGAACAGTTTGCTGCTATAAATCATACTGTTAGCAGCAGTCTAGACAGGGACTGTGTTGGAGTGACACAGTAGATAAAAATGTTTGACTGTGTGACTGCTCAGTCAGCATTGCTGCTTATTTTTGGTTGTGCTGAATAGTGCACAGTTTATAAAAATGCATCATGTGTTACCTGTTATGGCTGGAAAATGTTTGTTTTTGTATGTACATATGCATACATTCTGTTATCATGTGTCAAATTTGTTGTGAATAAAATAATGTTCCATAGGTAAATCATAAGTGATACAGTTTTATTATGGTTGAATTAATTTGTCTTCTTCCTTTAAGTCTGTATTGAATATTAATTATCAGCTTCTCACAAATAATGATGGTATACTTGTTTAGAATGTAAATTATAATGGTCAAAACCACACACAGCAGGAAATGTATGTTTTGTGATTTAACTGAAGGTGAAAGGCACAATCAATGTGTTACACCTGATTTAAAATAAGATTTAACAGAGTAATTAAAGAGACCCTCCAAACATGTTTTCAGTGTTATATATTAAAATTCACTGCCACTAGTTGTCGCTCTAGAGCACAGCATCTCAGACCAAAACAAATGAGTGCTGAGGCCAACCAGCCTCCACTGACAGAACCAGTCATTTTACCTCACACATAATCGTAATAATACATTTTAAACTGGACAGAATTTAAATTAAAACTCACCAAACTGTCTTTTTTAGTCTTTACACAGTCTTTCTAACATTCACCAAAGCTAATTTGGTTAAAATATTTGTAAAATGAGTTACAGTGTTCTGTCGAAGTGCCAGAAAAAGTGCCTGTTTCTGCCACCGACAGGCTCAGATTATTAATCTATTATAATGTATGTACATAACATTATGTAAAGGATCCCTCTGAAGATAGACCTTTTTCCCTTTATTTAACAGCCATTTGCCAGACCAGAAATGACTATTGCTTGCACCAGACTCCAGAGATAAAAACAGTAATTTTACCTCGCAGACCATCTTGCCATCATAACTTTATTCAGAGTGGACAGAAACAAAATAAAACCCACCAAAACCATCTTTCCACTGTTCCAGCAATCACCAACTATGGTATGGGCGGAAAAAATCTTTAATTTACCGACCTAGATGACAAAAACTGCCATTTCAGTCGCTCTACTCAGTTGCACAATGAGGGACATGCGGCCAGAGATAGCAGAGAAATGCTGGCATAGCAACACAGGCAAAGGGAGTGTAACATAATTCTCTGGTCAGGATGCTGTGACTCCACTATATTACATAGCAAATAACTGTTTGTTTTAAATCTCATAATGTTAAAACAATAATTGTTTTATTGACTAAAAAAGGTCAATTACGTTTGTGGAAATTAAATACTGAACCATGATTGGCTTCCGAACTTTGTGACGTCACAAATTATGTGTACGTAAACGCCTAAAAAACTCAAATTTAAGTCGAGAAAATTTATTCCTTCAGCAGATAAATGTGAAAACTCTGCTCATCACTCCAATATCCCAGTGCTGTAACAAGAAGCAAAACACGTTTTTGAGTCAAGGCGGACTTTAACAAGTCCTGTAACTTGTTTGAGGTGACACTGAAAATGGATCGCAGCTGTGCGACCCACAATGCCACTTGTTTTAAACACGTGTCTTTCCGAAAACAAAAGACCAGCTGCATTCTAAAAGTCCTTGATTGGACAGCAAGTTCAAGTGTTTTCTCTTTAGCGGACCATCTTTTTCTCAAAGACCAAAGTGTTCAAGCATCATCCATGTCAAGTGGCGGGACCCTGTCGCCCCGGCAACAGGAAGGAAGCTATTTTGAGCCGCGGGCACTCTGCCACTCCTCTAGGAGCCACAGCCTTATGGTGGCTTTGAAAATGGCTTGGAAGTGGCAAAAACTGGCATGTCGTTGCAAAGACGTGTATCCTGCTGCTAGCAGCACGCTTTTATTTCGGCCTCATGTTGCTCTAAATGGCTATTATTTGGTTATTTATCCACCAGCATGCAGGAGATAAGATAAACACAGATACAAAGCGGGTTGATGGTAGTTTGCAATAGTGTAAATTTGCTGTAATGGGTCGATGTGGGCTCAGCTGTCCTGTCCGGAGCTACAATAGTGCTGCGGGATGGTTGATGCTGAGGAATGAAATGCCACAACGTATGAAACAGGAAGGTTCCTGCGGCACTACCAGTTTCCAGACTTTACAATCGATAATGAATAAATATAAAGAGAAAATAGCAGATCAGGAAGGATTTTCTCATGCGTTTAAGGTCATAAATTAATATTAAGAGACTGAGTAGACTGAATAGGTTCTGCAGTTTGTTGAGAAATGATGTGACTAATTTGAAAAGACAGTGAGCCCAAAAGCATTTTTTTTGGTCCCTTCCACTAGGAGGTCAGAGAGGAGGTCCAACCAGGGAGCAGCCCTCTGGAGTTCGGCAGGGAGAAAGACTCTTCAGCAGGGAAGATACAACATGGGGGCATGACCTCTGCCCCTCCAGCTGAAATTTCCACTACCCACATCATCTCTTGTTTGTATCTTCTCATCTCACAAACCTCTTCATTTTGTATTTAAAACTACCATCAGTGTTAAAGTACAATTCCTGATGAGCAATGTGTCAGTGTGCTTTAAAATCTTGAGGGATCCCCTAACGCCTCATTAGAATGCCTAACTCACAAGTCAAAGCTATAATTGCACACCATACACATCAATTACACAGTAATGTCACCTGTTTCACTGTGTTTATTTCCCCAAGTCGAACCGAGAACCCAGCTCAAAGAAGATCCTCAAGCCCGCCTTTCATTCAGGCTGCTGTAGCCGAGGGAGGACAGGCTGAATTGACAAGCATGAGCAAAACAAAGACGTCCCCACGGTATTTGTTTACAACGAGCCACAATCTCCCCTGAGGTGGCACAAGGTACAAAACAAGAGACACAAGCCAAGCAGAAATGGTTGCCCAGTGGCTGGAGCAGCTAGTTTGGAACTAACTGTGTGAAACAAATCTATAAAAGACACATGATTTCTTAAGGTCAATCTAACCCTAACCCAATTACTGTAAAACAAACTTTTCTCTGCATCCCAACAGCAGATGCTGCTTTAGCCAATCAGGTTTTTTATGTTGTTGTTTTTTAATTCACAGAGCACCAGAGGCTGACCTGGGAACAGATGTATCTTGCTGATATTCAAATTCAAGCAGGTGATTAAAACAAATAATTTTTTTAAAGTATGCTGGAACCAAGAACTCTTTCTTATTCCCTGTGATGACAGCCATCCTCTAACTACCTACCTTATTTTTTAAAACATTTTTGCCTTCGTTAGATAAGATGCCAAAGTACCAAAACAACTCATCGTCAGAGTGTTTCCTTTATACTTACGGGTGCCATCGAAGCGTGTAGCAATGGTGTCCAGAAAGGTGTTCTGTGGGGCCAGGAGGCCCTTCATCACCGGCATCTTGACCCAGATGTGGGATGTCCAACAGCTGGCTGGAGGTCACACCATCCCAGAGGCACAGCAGGTGGCTTCCAGGGGCTCTCACAGGGTGCAGGAGACTTGGAGGGTGACAGTCCAGTGCCAGCGCGGGGACACACATTTACAGCCACCCTTCTCCAAACGATGCCTCTCCCAAAGACAGTAAGTGCAGTCTGGGAAGAGCTCACTCCAGCAAATGCAGAGCCTCAGGTGTGTGTAGCCTAGATAGGTCAAAATTAAAAGTAGCAATCACCAGCAGCTGCTCAGTCAGCAAGGAGGGATCAAGTCCAGGTGACGCTGAGATCCAAAGAGCTTCAGATCACTCAACCCAGCTGTTGCTTGTCTGAACCTCTCAGCCGGACAGCTCATTCCAGCAGCAACGTGGAGGAAGTTATCCTTTAAGTCCACCGCGCTTTCCATCAATAGGAGGACCGAGAATCTGCAAGACAAAAATGACAGCGCATGTGTCTAAAACCTCTCGCATCCCTCGGCTCAGTGCCCCGCCGGGATGCTGTGGCAGAGTAGTTGCATCTTCTTGAGCTTTCTACCTTTCTCCCTTCCTCGCTACCTCTCTCTCTCTCTCTCTCTCTCTCTCTCTCTCTCTCTCTCTCTCTCTCTCTCTCATCCACTCCTGTGATATCCCAGCCAATGAGATGCTGGCATCCTCTGTGGGGACCTGTTTTCATCTGTGGTGGGGGCAGCATAGAGAGAGAGAGAGAGAGAGAGAAAGAGAAAAAGAGAGAGAGAGAGAGAGGGAGTAAGAGCGGAGGTGGAGGAAAGAGGGAGGGAGGAAAGGAGGATGCAGCTGACAGTACCATTACAGCCCATGGTGCTACTATCAGCACATGGCTTTTGTGTGCATGTCTGCAAATCAAGGAAAGATGGATTACCTGCATGTCGGTCAATGCAGGCTATTGTATTCAGTTAGACTGTGTGCTATTGTGCTGTTTTGTCATGGGAGTCTGACTCAAGGGACATTGTGAAAGTGTGTGCGTGTGTGTGTGGGGGGAGAAATATTCAGATTCATTTTTCTTTCTCATTCCTAGAGTATTGTTGTTTCAAACTTGTCTCTTCTGGATGGAGCTGGCCCCCGCTGGCCCCCGCTGGCCCCCGCTGGCCTCCCAGCCCCTACAGTATCCTCATCAGAGAATTAAGGCTCTCGGATATAAAAGCGGCTAAGAGCGGATTAAAAGGATAAGCCTGGAGATGTTTTTCATGAGGACTTGATGCTAAACACACCAAAATAACGTTGCGTCTTAACTCACTTTGACCCGAGCAAATAGCACAGCTTAGCTGACGAGGGAAATACCTCTGGGTAGTGAAGGTGCTTAACAGGAACACTCGTTTATCTTAAATCATATCATTTATAATGAATTTTGTCAACAGCAATCTCATTAGATTTGACAGTAATCAGGGAAAGATGATCCTACAATTAATCTAATTAATGTAACTGTCATTAAATATTTATTCTTTTGAACCACATTAAGAAACCCGATAATTAGGGGATGATTTTTAAGGAGATGACATCTCCTTACTGAATCAGTAAGTATGGTGTGTGTGTTGATTGAGAAAAGGTTCAGATGCAATGCATTAATATAATTTGACCATTATAAAATGTCCACAGTTTTTTACAGGTGTTAGCAAGCAGGCAGAAGACTGAGTGGATTCTGTATATTTTAAAGTGAGCACTGAGAGGTTTTCAGTAAGAGGAAGGGTCTGGGTTTTATTAAATTTTGAGGTCAAATTGTTTCTTTTTTGTCACAGAGGTTTATGTGGAGCTTGAGGATGGAACCAACTATGGTGCTTGAGTTGTTTACCCAGACGCGGAAGAAAACCTAGAAGAGGTCCTGAAACAACAATTCATTTAGATGCTTTTTAATACCTTTCAGCACCCTCAACTCCATGTTTAAATTAGTAACTATGGTGGTCAAGCGTAATAGGTTTTAGTGGTGTTTTAGGAACATATAACCTACCTGTCATGGGCCATTTTTAGTCTTTCTATGCCTGTCAAAAAGAAAAAGAAAAGAAAAATCAAATCTTCACAATATATTTCCCCGACCATGCATCAAGTGTAACTTTAGGCAAACAGAGAGTCGAGTAAACAAAAATGGATGAGGAAAGAAATAGAAATATATTTGCGGGGGCATTAGTAATCTTGGAAATGTTGAGCTGATTCGGCAGCTGTGTGGGCGTCGCCCCAAGCCACAAATGAAGTTTGTAATCTTTAGGGTAAAAAATACATTTGGTTTTGATCTTGATCAGCAGTCCTGGCAGGGCAGCAACTGCAGATCTCTGAAATAAGAGTAACCACATCACGGCCCCTTGTTTTCTACTGTACGCATGAAGTGATTTGTTTTCAAAAAGCAGAGAACAAGAACAACACAGGGGACTGTTGATTGGAGTGTTAATTCTGATAAATTCTTATTTGGGAGAGAAGACATGATTATTGTTATACTGTCAGTCAAAAAATGCTGGAGAGAAAGGGTGATTAAAAATGCACAATTAACCCATCCAGCAGGCAGCACAGGTGCACCGCAATTGAAGAAAAAGGGGGGAAAACAAGACAACTAGTGAAAGTAAAAGACTGGCTCTCAGACTGTAAGAAAGTATTGTTCCCCCTCTGGGATCCTATTCAATCCCTGGCAGCCCTTCACTGCTATCTATTTTTAATAGCTTCTCATTGTGCTTTCTTCATGTAGTCCATCCATCTCTGCTTGTCACTAATAAAGAGCCTGATCCATTAAACATGCTCACTATCTACTCCGCAGTCTAATACGACTGAGTGACGCACAGGCGGCCAGGTGAAATACATACATACATTACTACATTTCCCACATTTCTCAGCTCAGAGTGGACTTCTGGCATTTACCCTGATTTTCTTTATTTTTGCTTTGTTTTTTGGTGAAAGCTGCACAAAATTTGGATCAAATGTTTGTTAATATTTACACAAAGGACTCTTTATTTACCATTTTAAACTTCAATGGAAATCCGCCGCCTTAATCCTGACTTAAACTGTAAGATAGATAAGCTCTACAGCCGGCATCATTCACTCCACATGCAACATCCCTTCTCTCAATTAAATGCATCGTTCTTCCCCTCAGCAAAACCCCATTGAGAAATCAGGCCTGTCATTCTCAGATCTCGGCTGTTTACATTGAATTAACTTGTGACTGAGCAGATGTGCTTAGAGGCTCTGTGTGTTTATGTATGTGTAAATCCTCAAGGCACGTGCGGATGACAGATGAAGGAAGAGACACATCATCTCACTAGACACCAACCAGAGAAAGACGATGATCTGTAATGAATAAACAAAAGCAGTGAAAATACTGGAATCATCCTTCATTTACCCACCATGCTGTCATTATATAGTAATCTGATGAAAATGAGACTTTCAGAAAATTATTGTTGTTATTGTTGTGGCTTGAACTGGACAATTCTGGGAAACTGCTGTCCTTACTCGGTATTAATCCATTCACAACAACGTATGCACAAAAACTATAACTTGTTGAGTGAATACTTAGGAAACAAAACTTCTAATTTGACCCCTGTGGATGTTTAAGGGTACAGTAGCCTACATGTGCCAGCTTTTGTAAGATCCAAAGAACATTAATTACTTTAATTAATTAAATAGAAGATTAATACCACTCTCTTTTATCAAAATAACTTTTTGTTATATGTGCTGAAAACTTCGCTATATCCTGGTACATGTGAAAAAGACTGGTTCCTCTGGCTCGTCCTCGTTCTCTTTAATGGCGTTTCCGAGAATCCCCCGAGCCTAAACACAAAACAACCAATCAGAGCCGAGAAAAGATATTTGAAAGATGAGTCTCATTCCCAGGTCGTCAAATACCAATGTTTTGGGTCGGTGGCTTGAAGCTTTGGGACCCAATGTTATTTTTTTTAATAAAAGTTGCCTACTGCAGATTTGCTACAGCCAGCAACCAGTCAGCTTAGCTTTGGCAAGACTTGAAATAGGGGGAAACAGCTAGCCTGTGACTAAATCCACCTACCAGCACCTCTAAAGCTCACTAATTAATGTGTTATATCTGGATTGTTTAATCCGTACACAAACAAGTGTAAGAGTAAAAACAATCGTGTGCCGTTTTGACAGTGTTTGTACTAATTAAAATAGATAAAATATATTATATAGAGTTCTCTTGAGGTGCTGGTAAAAGAGGTAAGATGTTGTTAACCAGCAGAGTCAGCTGCTGTCTCCAGGTACATATTTAACAGACATGAGAGCTCATCTAACCTAACGCTCCACCAGAAAGCACATTTGTGTATTTCCCAAAATATGGAGCTACTCCAGCACCAGACGAGTATTACAAGGTCGACGCTGGTTTGTTTCTAACTCAAGGGCAGTAGAGCGGCGAGGATGCACAAATCCTGGCTGTGCAAGTCATTAATAAACATCGGTAACCTCTAATGTCCTGGATAACAGAAGAAGATGACAGACTTTCATAACTACTGTTTAACTGTTTGAAACCTCTAGAGAGGAAAACAAAATCCTAAAGTAAAATGTGGTTATTTGACTCCTGTTTTGGTCTGATCTCACTACGGAGCCAAAATAAAGCGAGAGCAGTGTGAAATCTCATGGTGAAATGGGACGTTACTATAAATATTAGCCCACTTTGTGAACGGAGAGACCTGCGGGAGAGAATCGTGCCATACAACAACACACGAGAGTAAAGGGCTTTGAGATGTGGGCTTGTTTCAGCTGCTATTTTCTTCAGCTTCCACGACATAACACATGACTCAACTTTAGTAATACAAAATATCTCATATACAGGTAATTAAATAATGAGATTGGAGTCTCTACTCTGATCTGCCTGCAAAAATGACTCTCTTGCATTTACACTTTAGAAAACTGTTACACACTTAAAGTGAGAGGGTAGTAATTCAAGTAGATAGCGGGAATAACACATTACATATGGCTATCCCCCTCTAGTGGTGACAATGAAGTCTTGCCACTGGTAATGTATGCACTGAGTCAGTCAGATGGTGGTCATTTAGATGGGAAAGCTTGCTGAGATGTAATACCAGTTCTGGAAACAAGTGTCAAAAGTAAGTGGGAAAAAATTAAAAATTTCAGCTGCAAGAAATGAAAAATGTAACACGATCAACTGAAGCTACAAATTGCATATTTACCTTTACCAACACATCCAGTCTGTAACTGTGGTGTACTAGAGGATATTAAAAGCATAACAGAGGCCAAACATCTACTGCTATTGAGTCACTTTGTCACTTAAAGGTAGACACTAGAATACATTTATAGTTTATAAATAAGAGGGTTTAGGATGCTTTTCTCTGTTGTATCTCAGCCCCACTCCATGACTTAGGCATACAAGATGGCATTTATTTTTAGATATAAATCTTGCCAAACCTTCACAGGTGACTGCATTTATGGGACAATGGGAATGCGGTGGTAGTGCAACATTCAATAACACCAGATAAATGTGTATCAATACAAACATTTTATAAGCTAGGTGTTACTTTGCTTCATCTTCAGCTGTCATAAAAAAAACCTCTAAAACAGAACAAAATGAAACCCTGGTTAGATAAAGAGACTGGAGACTGACTATCAGATAAAAGCCCAAAAAAATCCTCTTCAAAAAAGGGTATCTTGTTTCACAGTATTCTCCCCTGTCATTCAACACTGTGGGGACATCAACTAAATAGAAGTTTTAATCATTTCTTTATTATTCTTATGGGGCCAAAAGATACACCAATATAACAGCTAACCCCAAAACATTTGAGCGATAGTATATACACTGCATATGGTTCATCTTTGATTGAAATGGAAACCAGACAAGGTCCTGAAACACTTCATAAAAACAGAACAGACTGTTTAACAGTTCACTTTAATAAAATTATAAATATAGTCGAGCAAATAAATCAATCAAATGAAAACTGTGTTCCCAGGAGTTTTTGTGTTCCCAGAGGCACAATTCATAAAAAAAACTGGAGACATTTGATTCAGTCAGCGCTCACCACAGTCAGTCCACAAGCTTTGTCTCCCTTTTAGGAAACGGTTTTCCCCAAGAGAAAGTCAGCGTATTCTTTCCTGCGTAGCACTCGGTGCATTTTGAAGGTGTTGGGTGAGGTGTTGGAGAAGGCCATCATGTGCTTGCGAAGTTCCCCGAACGCGCCGTCTGCCACGAGCTGCACCCTCATTGGTCCGATGCTGCCTTTGATACGGAAAGACTTGTAGACGGCTGAGTCCTGCTGGAGACTGATGTCCAACTGGAGGGAAGGAGAGCAGAGGGCACATAAATAAAGTAAATAAAGGTCAGTTACACGATGAGGAAAAAACAAGGTTTGTCTTACCTTGTAACGTTGCTCCTCTGTGAGGTTCCTCACACCTTTCAGCTCTATAAAAACCTGGTAATGAGGATCTGAGCCACCTATCGAATCTCCTGCAACACCACAGTAAAGTAAAATTCATTATAGTGCAAACTGAACCTGACTAACCACTCAGAGGTGTCGACTGAAGGGGTATGAGCAAGGCGTCTTACCCATGATGCCACTCTCAACGCAGCAGTAGTCGACCAGCTGAGCCCCCGGCCACTGAGAAACAGCTTTCTTCAGAGCGTCAAGGAACAACGCCTCGGACACTTTCTCCCCTCGTACGTTCAACATTTGACCCCGTCTGACAGAAGAGGGAGGGAAGCCAGGAGGAAGCATTTTTCTATGTGGTATATATTAAAAATCTACATACATACAGTATATTACATGCAGCATGAGATGATGTGCAGTATTTGAACAATTGTGTACCTGTATTGAAACTCAACAATGGGGCACTGGTTGTGGAATCCAACTACTTTCACAATGTCTCCAATGCGATATCTGTAACACACAGCATACAAATAAAAAGTGTCTATTATGCAACAGTCCTATACAAGTATTATTTGTGAAATACCTGGGATTAAAGCTTGTGCACGTTTCTGAGCATCTTTAAATTTTAATTGCGTGTCAGATTGTCTTACTGAGTCTGAACACGAATCTTGATATAACGTAGCATTATCAGACTTGAGATGCCCATTTTATCTTGATTGAGTGCATTCAAGTGCAACCACATCACAACGGCAATGACACAAAGCAATTATCGGATGTAATTCTGCACTCTTTCTAGCCTATGATTTAACAAAGTGGCAGTTAACTGAACCCTCTGGTTGACAGCAAGATACAAATATACTTAAAATTGGCCTACATTTCAAGCATTTACTCCCTAAAAACATAACAGACGTAAGACTGTCTACATTCAACTGACAGATCCTGCAAGAATACAGTTAAATTCATCATTAGATCATTTTTGGTTGTAAATGAAATCAGACCTGAAGAGTCCTGAAGCGTTTGTAATAACAAGCTCGTAGTTTTGTCCCTCCTTCACCTCCTCCATTAGCAGAGTGTGAGGCGTCTCCTCCTCCAGGCGGCTCTCTGGCAGAAACTCGCAGAACATTGAACGTGGACAGAGCATATAGCGTCTGTTTGGCTCCTGTGGCCACAGGTTCACTCCTATTAGACCTGCAGAGGGCAATTCAAACAATAAGAACTAATACAGTAATACATCCAAGCACCTTAAAAACCTTTTATTAGTGTGTGGGATCAGATGTGATCACATGCAAGTTCCTACCTTCAGTAGCAGCGTAGAACGGCGAATAGAAAGGCACTCCCTGGCAGTAGTTCCCCCTCAACATTTCCCCATAGATCTGATTGGAGCCACTGTCCACTGCCAGCACCAGGTGGAGGTGAGGCCACAGCCGCTTGGCGATGCCACGGAAACCGTCTTGGAAGTGGACCCGGAGCTGAGCGGCCCTCTCTGGGTCTGGCTTCATCAGAGCCTCGAGCCTTAACCTCACTTTGGGCTCCAGAGCCAGAGCGCTGCTGACCTTCCCACGTTCAATGTCCTCCACAAGCTCCTGCCAGCGATCCTGTGGGATGGAGAGGAGATCGGATGGAAATTACTTTTTCTAATCCTTAGCACATCAAACAAATTACCACAGCTTTTCTTTCAGTCAGTGGGAGTCTGACTCCTGACTCAAGATTTCATCCCATTTTACTAGAAAATGTACCATTGGGGCTCAAACCAGGCATGCATGAAGGATACAGCACTAGGAGACATTTCTATCAAATCAACTACAGAGTGCTGCTGTTGGTGGAAAAATTTTGTCTCTTCAAAATATCAGACACCTTTTTAAGAATTAAGATGTTATTTATTGTTAAAAAAAAACATGCAATTTCTGAAATATAAAAAAATATTTTTGAATATTTTCCTAGAATGGATTAGTTTCTGTTTGTGAATGGGCTATATGAATGGGCGAATGTGGAGTAAATGTAGTGTAAAGGCCCTATACAAGTATAGTCCATTTACCATTATCTGTATAATAAATCATGACATAAGCTATACTGTACCTGCAAAGCACTGAAAGCATAGTAGACTGTGGAAGCAAAGTTGGACTCCAGTGTTCCCACACTCGGATCTTTGAGAGCAAACAGGAGATGCAGGTAAAGGGTGTCTTTCTCACTGGGGACCTGAAAGAGAGCACAGTACAATCTCATGAAAACGATTAAAAAATTATAAACAATTAACAAATTCTGCATAAAATCCAAAAGAAAAATAATATTTAGAAACCAATAAGTACTCAGCATCGTGACCAATACATCTCGTAAACTGTACCTCGAAGGCGGGTGCTGGGGTGGTGTAGAGGTTGAGCATGTGGCGAGAGGAGGCTGGTGTGGAGGAGTTTGGTCCAATGGGAATACCGGCCTCAGACTGGCGAAAAGTAGGCGTGTAGAAGAACTTGGTGGTGCGCTGGAGGCTGTCGGTTGCAGGAAACGCTCTTCGCATGGCATCCAAACACACAGTCACCCCCTTGGTGGATAAATAAATACGATTACTGACAGTAAGAGTTTTACATGCACAACAACACAGCACAGGCTACGACTGTGCAAACACATCATCACCAAGCTTCACCTGCAAGAAGAACTCAGTGTTGGTGTCCTGGGTGCTGAGCAGCATGGCGCTGGCTCCTGACGTCCCGGAAGTCATGGCCAGGATCAACGGCTTCTCCGCGATGATCACCTTCTCCTCACCCGCCGCGATGCGTCTGATGAGCTCACGGTAGTGCTCGTATGTGGTGATGGGGTGTCGTGCTCGGAAGCCATCGCTGTCTGAAAAATAATAGTTTATGAGTTAAAACTGTCTGAAGTCTTCATTTCACTGATGAAGGTGATGAGATGGGGTTGATAGCTCAGACGAGTCATGCTCATTCATAGCTATACAGTTTATTATTTTAGACCCCAAAAAGTAGATTAAAATAGAGGGATTTTATACATACATAATATATATGTACATTTTTGTACTTTTTTGAGGTACTTTGCATGACTATTTCCATTTTTTTTATACTTTATGCTGCTACTTCACTTCAATTCAGAGAGAAATATTGTCAGTTTTACTTCATAAGACTTTAGTTACTAACACTTTAAAACATTACTTTTACTTATAACAGAGTATTTCTACACAGTGGTATTGCTAAAAGATCTAAGTACTTCTTGAAACAGCACTTAGATCTCAGCCGAGAGAAAAACTATTGCCATCTATCTAAGTAACTTTTCAAGCAAAGATTTAAACAGTGTCTAGTTTAAGCTTTGCAAACATGAGGATTTGCTGCATTTGTCTGTCTTAAATGATTTAATATATTTGGGTTTTGGTAAAACAAAGTGATTTTAAGGCATCAACCCTGGTTTCAGCCAATTGTGATGGAATTTTTTCACAATTTTTATAGACCAAACTATTAAAAGATAGATTAATAGACTAGATTAGTGTATATTGATTTGTTTTTTATTGTTATTACAGAAATAAAAAAAAATAATTGAACAGTTAAATCGTTATAAATAATATGGGGGGAACAAATGTGAAGAAAATGAGTGCACAGTTGAGTTTGATGTCTTGTCAGGAATATTTTTAAGACTCCTGAGCTCAGTAAAATCCTGTTTACGGCCCTGCTGTCAGTGCCTGGTGTGCAGACTTACATCACAGCAAGACAGAGGACAAATCAGTGTGTCACTGCTGGTTTACTCCAGCTGCAGGTTATCCTGTGGAGGAGTTTGGCTTAATCTCAAACACCACCTCAAAACAGTTAATTAGCACTATATTACTGTTTCCTTACCTTTTATTGAGCTGAAGTCATACTCTCTTCCATAACATGTGTTTGCGTTCTTGCGCAGGCGCTTCAGGAGAGTCTCCTCCTGGACTTGTTTCACATTGAGTGTGTCGGCTTCAAGTTTCCTCCTCTGCCGCCGGCCCAGCCAGCCCACTCCCTTCCCCGCCAGATACTGACTGAGCAGACTGCTTAACGCCCGGTTTTCACCTTTCATCTTGGAGCTAATGTCCCTCCAAACGAGCGCCATCCCGACCAGAGAGCAGACACCGAGGGCAGTGGGCAAAGGAGGCGGCATCGCTGGTGTTACACAAGGAAACATAAGGAGGCAGATGAGCCAGACGGGGGCGCTGTTAGCCGACTCTACCACCCTTACCTGTTTCATGTGACACTTTAAAAAGGCTGCCAACTGCGCTGTTGTCCCATCGGTGGGTTACCATTACAGCGACCCTCTCCCATCGTTTCACACATTCAGCATCCATCATAGTTCAGCTTACTTACCCTGATTTTGTCCGAAGATGGCGACAGCAAGAGAGAAAACCGCAAAACAAAGCGGAACAGCCGCCCGAAACCAAGAGAAAGCCATCCAGTACAAACAATGTGACCTGACTTTTATATGGTTTAAACTGTTCACATTAATAATAACGTTTAACTCGCATTAATGCGACAACAGAAGACCCTGAACTTTTGCTTTTGAAGCCGTTTGGGCTACTTCCGTGTTTGGGTCGCAGCCTGTCGCTCTGATTGGCTGACTACAGGATGACGTATTTTTACTGATTTAAACCACACGCACACAAAAAACAAAAAAAACCCAAAAACTTTTTATGTGAGAAATGTTTTCAAATTCAAGTGTTTATAATTTTCCAGCAAATTCCAGATACATAAAATCAAAAGATAGAATTCTCCACTTTATTCACTTTCTTAATATTCAGATACATTTAAACTCGATTAAAGTTTCAAAATAGAGAGACTAAAATTACTTGAATGTACATCTTTTCCCTTCTCCTACATATTCATTTATTTCTTCTAAATGTTCAGAGCTCCTCTCATTATCCTTATATCTAATGTTCAAATTTTACATTGTTATAATTTAATGTGTTTACTCTTTTTGTTCTAATATAAATGTATTAATTGTACTTGAATAAACAAAAATAGAGATTTTTCATGCTCAAACTAAAGCTTATGTTGCACTGGAAACATACGGATATTATTAGGCAAGTACATAATTTATTAGGTCTATGATTACTAATTTAAAAAGCAATGTAAGCATCAGAGCAGCGACATAAGGGGTCTTGTCCTGAGCTGCAGAACACGTAATGAATCCCTCTTGCCTCTGGCTGTACATTAGTCCACAGAAACCCCTTCATCTGCTTTCCTCTTCAGAACCTGCACAAAGATCAGAGAAAACACTGAAACCTTTGAAGAAGGACTGTGCTGGATCAATCAGACAGCTCTACAGTTTGCTCACCTGTTTCATTTCCACCGTGACAGCTGATAATGAAAAGAATTTACACAGAAAATTATGAAATGATAAACAGATGATCAAGCTGATTTTAGATAGGCTATGTCTTTGTGGACTAACCTGCCCAATAAGAAGAGGGTAACATCAAAGGTCCATCGGCCGACGCGCCGTGGAGCAGCTCAGCCAGCCACGGCACCTCTGCTGGGTTGTCAACAAGAAACTCCTCTGGTTCGTCCACATACAGTTCAAACTCTGCCACAGTCAACGGAAACACTCAATGTATCTTCTTGATTTAGATCAAGTTAGCTTTTATGTTATGTTCTGTATATGTATTTATATTTATCTCCATTATCATTTGTTTTGTATTCCAAGAAACCTTTAGTGGAATAGAGTACACAAGATGGGAAGTACAAATTGACTTTCTCTTCCTTTCAGCCAACCTGTGACTTTATCTTCCTCATAATCCTCCTTTATGGTCCAAGCTGTGGTTGTTTCATTAGCGACGCTGCAGCTGGACATGGACGATGTGAGGCTGTTGCTCTGGAGTCTGTGTGTTAGACGTGTTGTGTCACAGATGTAGGCCTCTCTGTAGAGCCGACTGGCTGCAGAGAGACAGAGAAAAACACTCATTTGGATTGTGATTGTGTAAGAAACTGGTTTTAAAAGTCCCATAATATGTGTTGTTATCATGGTGTGAGGATGAGAATAATAGACCATTGATTGTGAAGAATCAGTTCTCACAGGACAAAAGTCACAATATTAGACCTTGGTTGGCTGATGGTACCTGATGTTCTATTAAATGACTTTAACCGCACTTTATTGAAAGGACCCAATCAAAAGAAAGTCTAGTTGTGATGAGTTTGAGATGAAATAATGATGACAAAACAATGTATATTTTTTAAATTGCAGACACATTTAGGGTATACTGATGTAAAATGATTTTTTAAATATACATATTTGGGGGCTTTTGTTGCCTTTTTTATTGACAGGACAACTCAAGACAAACAGGAAAGGGGGAGATAGAGAGGGAATAACACACAGCAAAGGGCCACAGGTTGGACTTAAACCCATGTCCACTGCAGCAGGGACTCAGCCTTGGTACATGGGGCACCAGCTCTACCAGGTAAGCTACCAAAGCACCCCTCTATGAAAGATTTTAATTCACAAACGAGTTCTAGTAAAGGACGAGCATGAAGAGGAGATTGCTGACCCTGCATGTCTTCCAGGTGTTGGATGTAGCTGACCGCATCTCTGTTGTTGATGTGGAGCCGGTGACTGTCGCTGAGGTGCCTCAGGACGTGTTTGGAGTGAAAGGTTGAAGGAGTGTAATACACCAGTTTAGGGAGGCACAGAGAGCCCACTGCAGAGATTTCAAACCTGCTGCCCTGAAGAGCGAGAGAGAGGGAGAAGTGCTGTATAATCCAAATATCAGTAGTGGAGGAAGTATTCTAATCCTTAAATTAAGTAAAAGAACTAATCATCTACTATCATTAGATTATTATGACTCATGCATTCATGTAAAAGCAGGATTTTACTGTTGTAGTTGGTTGAAATGGTGCTTTTAACAATGTTGTATAGGTCTATAACTTAAAGGTCTTAACTGCTACTAATTCTCTCCATCAATTGATTTATCGTTTGGTTTGGGAAAAAAAAACCACTGAACATAGAAAACACCAGGTAATTAGCGGACTGTAAAATACAGGGTTTCCCTCTGAAATGAAGTAAAGCAGAAGTAGCATATCAATGCCGAACAGAGAGGTGGAAGAAGAGTCGATGTTGTATAAGTGGCAATATTCAAGTCGTGACTCTTTAAGACGAACCTGGAAAGTGAAGCGATCAATATCCGTCCAGGAGAACTCATACAACAGACACTGCTTCCCTTCCACCTCCTTAAGAAAAATCCAATCAGTTTACACTCATAACACATGTTCCAAGAAGTTTATCTATATCTACAAGTCAAAATGCTTCAATAATGTGGAGGACCCACCTGATAAATATGGACTCCTTTAGGTGCTACACCGAGAAGGGTGGAACTTCTCAGCTTTTTTTTGTCCTGCACATAAAAGAACAGATGAAGAAGGCAGAGTTCAGAATATAAAACAGCAAACAGACTCACAACCTCCTGACTGTCTGCTTCATTACAGTTACAGTATTCTGGAGGATTTCTTTGGTTAACTGAAACAGTCTGTGTCTGCGTCTGACTGGCCTGTCTCATCCTGTAGAAGGTGACTGGTCCATCCTGTAAACTGCTGGCCTCTTTTATAAACTGCAGGATGGCTTGGTTGCGAGATACACCTCTCAGCTCCACGTGCAACACCGGGCAGTGCTGAAGCAGGAAGTCTCTTCCACGACGCTTTATCAGCTGAGGACACAAGCATGTTACATACACACATGTAAAAACTGTTAAAATGTTCAAGGTTTAGATCTTAATGCGACCTCCATCATTTTGAGTCACTTTGGCTCAGAAACAGACTATACCACATAAGGTTGAATGTCAACAAACATTCAGCCATTTCACCATTTACGTGGATTAAAACACATTTATTAACCCCTCAAGTCAAAATTACTAACTACAATTGATCAAATATGAACAAATATACTGTAGATATAATGCAATATATAATAGTGTACTTAAATATAACAATATTAAAAATACATAATGCAAAATATATATTTATTTATTTTCTTTACCCATGAGGGGAAGTAGTCTTCAGGAAGAAAGTAATGTCTGTCCTCGTCCAGATCTCCGACATCAGCTTGAAGTGCAGAGGCTGCCAGCTGGAAGTACAAAGCTTCCTGATGGCGGCTCTGTGATTGCAGCACTTTCTGCCTGAGCTCAGTGTAGTAGAGCTGCTGCACTTTGCTGCTCCTTAAACAACCAAATAGGACAATAAATTACAGTTTGTCTCTGTATTATGGGAGTTTTTTTGCCATTTCTTTTTATTTTTACTTGATTGGGCAGAACATTCATGGTTTGCTGATGGGTGACCAACTTACAATATTAGCCACCCACTCTCAACATAATACTGTACTCTCAGGAACAAGATGAATGGGACCTAGAGATGAAGAATAAATATTTAAACAGAGTGAAAGAGTAATATTGTCTATTGTCTACACAGTCTAGTTAACATTTGAAGAAACAAACAGGAATCATGTAACAAAGACCTGATGTACAGGTTTGTACAGAACATCTCCCCAGATACAAAGCAATACATTATGCATTATCACACCATGAGTTTACTGAGGCACACTGATGCATGCAGGACTGTAGGTAAGTCTTCAGAGAGCTTAAATACAAGAACAACTCACTGTTGAGGATCCTCTCTTCCATCTTTTGCCAAAGTACTTGCTCAGCTTTTGCTCCAAATCAAGAAAGAGGTATTCATTATCTGAGGAACATAGAGAAAACAAGCCCACGACACCCTCTTGAGTTCATTCAGTTGCAGCTGCCTCCCTAAATGCCAGCATCCCTCGATAAATGAATTCAAAACATTCCTTTTTTGAACTCCCACACAGACACTAACTGACCTCTGAGAACAGCCAGACCAAAGACCTGCAGCTCACCGATGCCGAGCTGCTTCAACACACTATTCAACACCTCGTGGCCTCGGGCTCTCACCTGAAGACACACATTATAACACACACATGTACAAGTACGTAAGAGTACATGGGCATATTCAGGGTCCATCCTGTGAGCTTTGGGTTCACATTGATACATTTGCTTTGTGATGATCAGCAAATCATTTAGTTATTAATGTGTATTAGACTGTTGTTTGGTCCAAAGCTGATATGATGGAGATCCCTTCCTGAAAACAGATACATACTGTAAAGGCTGCAATGAAATGACTTTCATGAAATAATAATTTTGTTTCATTATCATTTTATTTAGTCGTGCATTTTGAAGTTAAGGTAACTCAGAATTTAAAGGACTTACTGTATTGAAACAATAAAAACCATCTTCCCTTAAACATCTTTCTTATCCAGAAATTTTGGGGATAAAATAAGTCCCATTATGATAAAATGCAGTTTCAGAAGCTTTCAAATAAATAAGAGAAATGATTACTTTATATTTCTATATTACTATAATAAAATAATCAGTATAGCCCCTGTGCAATACATCAGTGATAAATATTTATAATGTTAATGTCAAATTAAACCTGAGGTTTGTATATTTGTGACGCATTAGAATCAAAGACTAAAATAAAATAAATAAATAACAAATAAATGAATAAGACATTGAAAGGGACCTTGAGGCCACTCACCCTGACAGTACAGTCCAGGTGCTGCTTGTTTGGTAGAAGGATGCACACCTGTCGTTTCTGCAGCGTCCTCATGGTCACAGAAGCCTCGGGCTCGTCTCAGGCCTTCATATATCCTCCTCCTGTCCTCCCATGTGCTGACCAAAACAGCCTTCTTAGGTCAGCCTTCCTCCCTAACCTGGCACGTAATGACTTCTGACTCAGAAAAGCATCAAATCCTTATCAGAGACTGTTTGGCCTTTTTGCTTTAAGAATCAGCTCTAGTATGGTTTATCCTTTTCCCCAAATTATCACAGATTCTTAATGCAGAAATGTGTTTGTAGCTTCTGTTTGGGCACTTAAAACATTCTAGTAATCTATTTTTAAAGGCGCTACGGGAGGAAAACAGGAATAAAAGCTGAGGTGTTGGTGGACATGCTGGACTCTGAACTAAAAACTGAAAAATGTACAAACATTATGGCAAGAGAAATAAGAACATTTTAACTGCTTTTAAATAAATTACTTAATTGGCTGCAAGAAGCCTGACCAAATCTGTCAAAATTGGAGACACATGATGCAAATTCAACACACATCAACATGCAGTGATGAACAATATCCTACCACCTGTACCTGAAGTAAACTAAACTCTGTTTATTTATATCAATATGTGTCTGTGGAGCTGACCTTTTCACCAACTGGACAATTACAGTTGTTTTTGGATTGAAGATATGGATAACATCAAAATTTAGCAAAAGAAGACACTGACATGGATACCCAAACATTTACTGTCCCATCCCCTGCTGGAAATAAATCAATAAATCAATAAAAAGACAGACAAGAGATCATTGTTAATCTATCATTAATTTATTTAAAAACAAAATCCAATAATGCCAATTGTGCTTTGCTCTGAGAAAGCAAGAAAAAAAGTGACACTTTTTTTTTTTTAGTAGCTGGTGATTCTGCTTATAGTAACCACACGTTCTCTGCTCTTGTGTGTTTGTTTTTTAGAGTTACAATCTACAGTGTTCTTTTCCCACACGAAATAACCTTTGTTAACATGCACAAAAACAGAACAAAAAACACAACCAAAGAACACTACAGTGCATTAAAAAGGCACCTGCTCCCCAGATACAGGCTTTTTTTTTTTTTTTTTTTATTTAATCCTACAAAGTTACATAATCGTAGAGGGATGTTGTTAATGCAGCTTCAGTAGCGACGGGTTCTCAACAATCCCCATGATCATCACATCTGTACCGACTCCCATTGAGTATTCTATAATTATCACATTGACCTTTTTGGGGACAGATGAGATACATTCAAGAGGTAACAAATTTCATCCCCTACACACACACACACACACACACACACACACACACACCTTTCTCTGCAACATAATTCACACACTAAACTGTAAAATACAATTCTCAGGTTAAGTAGAATTCACATTGAAGTGTCGATGATTAAAGGCGACCAGAGGAAACATGCAGTACAGTACGTGAAGTGGTTTTTATCTTGGCGGAGGGGTCCCCCGGAGTGGGGACTTTTACAGGATTGTGGGCTCAGAAATGCTTTGAATGTCAAAATGTTCCCCGCTGAACTTGAGCAGGGACTATTTTTTTTTGGGGGGGGGGCACTCTGATCACATTCCTATTCAAATAACATACTTCTCTGTTCTTCAACATGCTATGGGTGTCATTCACTGATCCTCAACAAGTAACCTTTTTTTCCCCCAATTTCAGGGATATTTCCTTACATAGATTTGAAAAAGCATTTAAGTTAATTGTACCAAGCAGTGGTGCAGACTAGACTTTCAATATAAATATTCATTCAGTGTATACCATTAGACACCCGATTCCCATTTACCTTATTGCCCCGACAGATCAAGAATGTCAAATTCTAACATTCACACTGTCTTCACATTATCAATCTGAGATTTGGGTTCGCATCCCCTCTAATGCCCACAATTATTCAGACTTACTCTCCCCTTTCCCAACACACTCCTTCTTTTTCCTGTCAGTTGGTGAGCACTCGTACACCAACGTTTATGTTCACGTTTAATGCAAAAATGTATTTATTTTTTAGAATTACATACGTAGGACAAGACCTAAATATTGAGTCCGGTCGTTTTACAATAAAATAATTAAAAGCTGGTTAATGTTTTCTAGCTAAATGCACAGATATAGTGCAGTGAGGTTTCACTATCAAGTTTTAATTTAACGCATGTAGTTTTGGTATGTTTTAGATTTTCATTATCAACACAATCTGTTGCCACAGAGTTTTTATTCCCAACCTGTCTGATGTTTAGATTCTTTTTGACACATGCATTTAGAAACAAAAACGGAAATGATCAGGATACACTTACTGGTAGTTGAGAAAGTGTGTTTTAAGGACATTTTTAGACTGTGATTTTGTGAAAGTAAGACAGTGGTGCTGAAAATCTGAAGTGAAGCTATAACCAAGAAAAATAAAGAACAGGTAAACCTGACCCAGTTAAGAACTATCATTTCATTTACAGAAACATCACTGCTCCTCACAGCAGTCTGCGTTTAAAAGTAAACAAAGGAGAAAGACATCCTCTCCTTTCATCGAGAGTTTCTTGAACGTACAACAAAGACACTATTCTCACAAACGGCTAACTTTTACAGACTTGACCTTTTGTTCAGATGGATTACACGGTGGATATGTACCATTTATTTTTACCACACTATGTAGTTCCTCTGACTTGCGAATGCCCAACCATTGGAGCAAAATAGCTCACTCAGCAGTGATGCCATAACAGCTTTTGTAAAGTGTGATTATAATACAGAAAGAAAAAAAAAAGGTGGTTCTCCCAAATCTCTGCTTTCCCTGAAAGGCATGACCGAAGAGCTTCTGAGCTTGTTACACTTAAACTGAAGTGGATGTGATGGCTGGTAGTAAGCATTTTAGGTGCTGTGCTATGTCACATTCATTGAAAAGTGAGAACAGTGGTACACTAACACAGAGATCAAAGTCACTTTTCATCAATACCCATGACAAAAAGTGTAACTGAATGCACTTAGATATTAGTGGTTTGAATGCACTTAACTGTAGATGCATGTGATTTGAGGCTGCAGCTGCGCTGGATTTTCAACAGGTACATTTTGTTTGTTGTTGTTTGCCAAGTAGATATTGTTGCATGGCTGAGCTGATTTGCCGCTTATGTTTTTGATAACTTTAACCAGTATCTGTGCAGTATAACTGACCAAAGCTGTCTCTAAGGATTAGATTTTTACATGTATTAATTTTTTAATGGAAATTTAAGATATGTACGCATTTTGCAGGGGCAAATCTTTCAAATCTGTTAAATTTGATGTCAGCAGCGAGCACGCATTTAAATGGACTACAAATGAGAGACACTGATCTTGTGGCCTATGTACAGGAATTAGTTTTAAAAATACACTTTTACATGTTTTCTACGGTATGATAGTGGAGCGCACTGGAGAGAATACAACAGTTCTACAAACAAGCAGAAAGAGTTAAACATAAAAATGCCTTTGTTGTTGGTAATGTTTACCATTATTTTCTATGCATATTTTGCTTGTTCACTTGTATAGACTAAAGGCAGCTTGCTTTGTTCGGATTGCTGTAAAAGTGATTCTTATTCACTAACCTGCTTGAGTATATTTTCTGATAAAATCTTGATCATATTAAAACCTCAAGACTTCACTGGCAATGTTCTCAAAGACAGGATGATTCCTAGAGGTACCTCTTCAAAGAACAATACATGTGTTTTATCAGCTGCACAGTTCTAAGACAGGGAGTCATAGACTGGAACAAAAAGGGAAGACTGGCTTCAAGTCTCTTCCGGCTAACAGCTAACAGTTAGCGGCTGTTACGTGAAGGCACTTCCTGGTAAAGCTTTCCACAGAGTAGCACCTGGGATTGTTTAGAAGTAACCAGTAGAAGCCCTTTATTGGAAGGAGCCTGGGGTCTGAGCTGGGCTGAAGGGTGTCTCTGTTACAGCAGGGTGTAACCTAAGATGTACTGCAGGAGTTTGTTCCGATTGGCCTGAGGTAGAAAAGTGCTGCTCAGCTCCAGAGTTGTCACCCGGTTCTCTCTTCTCTCCTTCAGGACCTACAGAAAATTGCAACAAAGGTGGAACATCTTAACTCCAGCTGGAGGGACCTGAACATCAAAGACTACTGTCTGAATATAAACCGTATTGTATTTTAATACCTATAATAAATCCACAATTTAAACTTACCCCAAGCTCTTTGAATGTCCTCACTGTGTTCTTAACCAAGTAATGAGTTGCACTTTCACCTGTAAAAAAAAGAGATTACATAAGGAGTCAGAAATACTAATTAAACCTGATTGTGACTGACGTTTTATTTTTTTTTAATGTTACTAGTTAATTCATAGCTAAAGCCCCTACAAGGGTGTTCATTTTGTGTTGATTCTGGTGGCTCTTGTGGAAAAAAGCAGAAGTGTTTCTACACCTTGTTTCATTGATTTCAAAGGGAATCTGACCGGGTGGCAGGCATTAAGAATAACTATAAAGAAACAGCCAAGACTTGTGTGTCCATGGCATAAATCTAGTGCTAGGACATTAGTTCCAGTAACTTTTATGGTTAAATAATGACTTTTCTTTGAATTATCAAAGGATACTGTATGGAATAATTACACAATGGACCTTCATTTCTAATTCCAAAATATTTTGTGGACATACAGTATGTGGGAGAAATATTGCAGTATTACCATAAGCAGCTACTCCTCTCTCTGTGCGGGTGAGCAGGTATCTGAAGAGCCTCTGGGTGTAGTCAGACTCAGCCATGGGCTGACTCAGACTGTGGACGAAGATGGCGGCCCCACTGTAGGCCTCCAGCACGGGGCTCACAAGTCGCTGTAGGAAGACGAAGAACTCCTGGTGTTCTGCAGAAACGCTCACCTGATCAAAAAATAAACAAAAAATAAAAAATCAGGGAGAGAAGCCAGTTAGTCTAGAAGTACTGTGGTGGTTCTGTTGGCTTAAATAAAACTGTTTGAAATTGTCTTTTTAAATACGCATTATTATCTCGACCTTTAGGTAGCGATCCCTCTGCTCCTCGCCGAAGTCACTGTCCTCATCCTCCTCGTCACTTCTCCAGGAAAGGGGCTCGGGGAACTTTTTGGGCCATGGTTCCTCTGTGGGGCTGGGACTCAGTTCCTCCTGGTCCTCCTGGCACACACACACACACACACACACAGACACACACAAATTAGACCATCTGGGCCATACATATACAGTAAACAATTATAGTTAACCCAAGATGTTCACCATTGGTCAACTGATCACAGTGGTTACTTCATGTCTGTAAACTGACCTCTGCTACGTAGAGAACTCCATACTGGATCAGCCGGGTCACTGCATCGTGAAAAACCTGGTAAATAGTCTGACAGGGCTGTGGGACAGAGAGGAGGAGAGGGAGAGGAACATGAAACAAACCATGTGGAGTTGTGTTTAAAATCAATTTAAAACCAAACATCAATAGGAACAACAACCAAACAGTTCAATTGAGCAAATAGAGACATGTTGGTGTTTTACTTCCAAATCTTTGGACTCATTTTGTACAGTTCAAAGTTTAGAAAGCTAGTGACAATGCACAGGACTTACTGGCGCCACAGCCACCTCATTGATAAGGAAGTGGGAGAGCATAGCAGCCTTGCGGATGAGTCTCTCTTGACTGAGAGGGAGGCTACTGAGACAACCGGGCTGGTGATCAGTGTCTGATTCTGCGACCAGCTCCCGCTGCAGCGACAGGATGCTGCAGGCTGGAGATAAATCATAAAGAAATTAGAAATAGGGAAATATTCTAACATCTAGGCAAAGATCAGTGACACACCAGATTGAGCGCACAACACAAGATCAACCTCTCGGCTCAACATACCAATGATTGCATCAGAAATGAAGACATGGAAAAGGCCATTGCTGTAGAAGTTGAGCTCAAAAAGCGCTTGTACAGTTTGGCTGGGTGCAACAGTGAACTCTCCATTGCGATTCGCACTGCTGGTCACGTTGACGCAGTTTCCCAGCAGGTGGAGTGCACGCATGACCACATCCTCGGAGTTCCCAGAAAAGCCCAGATCAAAGTCCCGTGACAGGATCTCCTCCTTCATGTTGAAGAAGTCTTCCACCAGCTTGGACAGCACCACCCCCTGGAGCAAAGTGGAGGAAAAACACAAGCTCCAGATATTTGAAGAAAAAAACGTGGCTCATGTCCAGAATTTGGTGACTCGGTACAACAAAACACTAGACTTGGCTTGAGTCTGTCAAATGCAGCACAGGCCAATTCCTCAAGACAGAAAGACAATTTCAGTAACTGTTCTCCACTGTCACCCACTTACAGTACATCAGTGTGCCTGCAGAGGGCAGAGGCCCACCGCTAATGTACAGAGGTGGTGGAGAGAAGATGCAGGGAGAGAAAGACAGAACAGAGAGACACATTCATTGCTACCATGCAGAGGTTTCTGACATTTGGATCACCCCTGTGTAAGGGAGGGAGTATGACGGGCAAAAAAAGACAAAAAAAGACTGAGGAACAGATGGTTGAAGAAAAATTGGAAAAGGGAAGAGGGTGCAGTATATATAGTAACTAAGTGCCAGGAGTGGAGGTTATATAGAGGACATGAAAAACAGCCAGACTTACCTGTCTGTGTCTGTAGAGCAGCAGACAGGCTACAATGTGGGTAGACATGATTGCTGAGGACTTATTAGCCGCTGTGAGGGGCGATACAAAGAAGATACCATAATGAGCAAAACAGACTGACGACAATATCAAAGCAGAGACGTCTGGTATTGACCAATATGTTTCCACTCTAAGAGTAACTGCTGCAATATTCCTAAATATTTATTCTTTTTCATTTACAAGACAAAACACATATGAATGCTATACCGCTGTTAAGCATCTGAGTTGGAAGTCTCTTATGTCAGACAGAGGTGGGGGTTATGACAACAACTAAAAGAGTACGTACAGATGGGACTCACTGACAATCTATGACTAACCATATGTTGTAACCCATATTTTAAATAATACATCTTACGGTCTTTAAATAAAGTTCTCAAGCATATGAAAATATCCAATGTACCAGGTTTGTCTAATTAGATATAATGCTTTCTTTTAATAAACAAAAGGTTAAAAAGAGTTTATTATAATGATAACATATAAGACAGACAAAGACAATAATGGTGTGTCTGTGTGTGTTCGCACATGTCATGGGACAAAGGTTACTAGTGGTCATCTTGAGCATAGTTCAGGGGTGTAAAACATTTGTGAGCACTGGTACTGCATTCCTCCCTTCTTCTGCTTCTCTATCCTCCCCTTTATCCTATTGGCTGAAAACAACATGCCATCCAGCTGGAGGCTTTGTGATTGGCTGAGAGTGAAAAGCGACCAGGCCTAGGGTAGGAGAATGCAGCTGAATGAACTAGGGAGAACCGGTTTCTGTAGTGCTACCCTGGGGCAAAAAGCCCCGAGTGATGTGAAATGGATGGACTGATGCTGTGTAGGATTTAAATTAATAAAGGCAGTAGAATGAGTAGTATTTTTATGAATTCTGCTTCAGCTCCTGCAAGCAGGTGCAGCTTAAAACACAGGATGAAAAGGACATGCAAGTGGAAAAGAATATAAAAGAGGGTAGGATTAATTAATTAAGCAGAAAATGTGCTCCAATATTTAAAATAAATTAGATGTGACGGGACAAATAGTGCCATATGACATTTAGCTTAATGTGGCATCCGTGATGGAAAACTCTGAATAGGAAGAGCACTGTGAGGATTCATGACCTCTGTCACATGTCTTTCTATGCTACAAACTAAAAATATAAAAAGGGCTGATAACGATCCCTAAATAATATAAGCAACAGGGCTGTAGTTAGGGTGTAGCAAATCCACTGGCTGAGGTGTTGTGAGTTCCTTACTGAAGAGGACGTGCTTGGCCAGGTTGTTAATGAGCTGTCGTCTCAAGATATCATCAGGCAGCTCTCTGTTCATCTGCTCCTCCTCCTGCCCCTCAAACAGCTGAGCATCAGGTCTGAAAGAATAGTAACCCAACATATAAACATATAGTTTGACCACTGTCTTAGTATGCCAGCTTGATGTGGTATGCACAATTTAAAAAGATGGTGTTCAATTCACAAAATATACCACTTAATAGGTGTGAAAACATAAGCACTATAGCAAATGATTGAAGCAATATACATTTTAATTTAATATTTAGATGATAGTATTGACCCCCTGCAATGTGTTCTACTGTTCCGCATAATTGCTTTATGCTGCAAACAAACTGCCCATTGTGTTTTAAAGAAGCACCACTAAAGACCTAAAGTAAACTTAATCTTGCCAAATGTGATTATTAGTTTACGATTACCCTTATGAACCTGTGGCTGTCTCTGCTCACTCCTTTTATTTCCAGGCTTACAGCGCAGTCATTAACCACCTCAGCCAACTGTGCCATATATTTTCAAGACAGGACAGGCTACTATTTAGTCTGTGAGTGTTACTATACATTCTGTAGGGCTCTTTTTATGAAATAGTATTTGTAATGTTTGTCCAGATAGTTTTCACTCGGCTCTTCTGGCATGAAATCTAAACTTGCGACTCCAGACCAGCTGGAATGAAACGTTGCTGTCCATGTGAACGTCCTCTATGACTGTATCAGTGTTATTATGAAGCGACAGTGCTGAACTGAAGTGACCCCTGCCAATGCTAACTCAAGAGCTGTGCTCAGATGTCAGATAACAGACCCTGCTGTGACGAAGCAGGAAGGAGAAGTCAAGTTTTTGACATGAGGGTTCATGATATTACAGGTGGGACTTCTGGTGTGTGCATGTGCACTTGTCCCAGAAGAGTATATCTGCCTGTCAGAGTGGGTGTGTGTGTGTGTGTGTGTGTGTGTGTGTGTGTGTGTGTGTGTGTGTGTGTGCCCTTACTGAGCAGAAATAATGGTGGGCATCAAGGTGTGTTCCAGGGACACTGGTGGTGGAATATGGCGGCTTCTCTGGGAGTCCAGGTACTCCTGACAAACAAAGGGTTAATTAAAATACAAAATCACACAGACAGCCAGATGGAAACATCAAACGTTAAACTCCATATAAGCCACATTTATTATTTTCTCACTTTTTTTTGCAATAAAAGAGTGATACCTGAAATCTATTACTGTAATAGCGTCTCTGGCTACATGTGGCCATAACAGCTGTAGTTCTATTTGTATAAAAGCTGATGTCATCTCTGATCAGTCACCTTGAGGGAGAAGGGCTGGTTGAAGTCAACTCGGACGCAACCGTAGTTCTTCCTCAGCATCCTGAACACTCCACATGCTATTCCCCACAAACTCTCATTCTTCTTGGGCTTTCCCTGGTGGTATTGAGGAGTTTAGATGGTTACAACAACAACTTAATAATAACAACATATACTGTATGATGATGCAGTTAAAGTCATCTATCCCACAAAGAAACAAAGCCTTTCATCGCCTAATTTCCAAAATACTACAATATCTATTCTGTTTTTAGTGGAGGAAAACAGCTTTGTTGCCAGAGGAAAAAGTACACAAACATCCAACCAAGATGATCTAAACACTTACCAGCTGCTCGCTATTGTAGTTGCCCTCAATTATACGATCGTAAGAGATGCCAACTGGCACCACCAGTACGTCTGGGATGGACCCAGTGCACAGTGTGTCTACCACGAGGGACAGCATGCCTGCACGCGCTGTAGATGGCTTACCGCTGCGGGAGCGGGTACCCTCTAGGTAGACCTCCAAAAACTGCTGCTGACGCAACAACTCCTCTGTATACTGAGGGAAGATGGATGAAACACAGAGGCAAAGGTTGAAGTGAAAATGGTGGGATGAAGATGAATGAAAAAAAGGTTGCACAGGATGTCAAATGTGAGACAAATATGCATATACAGTGTGTAAAGGTCATAATACTTTCGATGAAAATACAATTTGCTGCAAAGACAGTGACTCCATCACGAGGTGGATGTGTCACGTAAAGTGTGCATTCTGAATAAGAGTTAAAATGAGCGTGGTCAACAATAGTTTGACCCCCAAATACACCGCAGAGAACTGGGCACGTGCCAAGGAAGCCATGTTGTGTCATGATATGCTGAGCACAGTATGCACGCAGCTGCCTCTTGCTATGCAGACACTTTTGAGAAGAGAGGCTTTATACTGAAATGGACTCTAGCCTGTGGCATTTAGAGTAAGCCGTGATAAGAACAGACATCCAGGTTCGGCTTTCACAGGAGCGACTGAAATTAGAGCAGCACAAGGTTTCTTATTCTATTGCCTGCACTTCTGCCTGTGAAGGAGTTCGGCTAATTACGTTTCTGTGAGAGACATGCCCATGCCAGATTAAAGTCTTATCTCCTCCAAAATTTTACAATTTACAGTTACAATGGCAGAATTGTACACTCTGTTTAGTGGGATGTGTAGAAAAAAATATCAGAGGTACAAAGGGATGAAATGCAGGTCATCACTTCCAACAGTTGCTCATGTCTTCAGCTGATAACTCTTATCTGAGGGACACGATACACACTTATCTTAGCCGTACAATACACAGCCTTTGTTGGTTTCATTACTGCCAACTCATTTTCACTCATCATTACTCTTAACTCTCTTCCACAAACTCCAAACATACAAATTAACAGCCATTACCAACTCTGATAGACTGGTGCAATTAAGTTAATCCACTAAGCAGCCAAGCTATTTAGTGGAAAGCACATTTAGAAACTTCATGCTACAAGTAGCTTATGATGACAAAGCATTCATATCAACAATAGTAGTCATCCACATTAGTTATACTTCAGGTTTTCTCATTAGGAGAAGCTTGTTAAGCCACATTATCCAAATACTAGAGCTGCACAAATGCAGATTCCAGTTTTAATCAGCCTCGAAAGTTTCACTCAGTCAGTTTTTGTCCCTGTAACTTTCTTGAGATGCACAATGCTCACATTAGGAGGGAAATAAACTCTACCCAGTGCCATAGTTGGAAAGACTTAAATGATTTACCAAAACAATAACTTTTTACTCTACATTTACAAATGCCCATAAACAATATGTCAGCCATTTTACATTGTACAGATATTTCTGGGTTATTTGAAAAGCAAAATAATACATCACTAAAATTATTATCCCTTCTCACTTTTACCAGTCACAGGACTCAAACCCCTCTGTACTGCAATTACAAATAGATATAACCACTGGGTTACACTACTACTCTTCATGTAATACTGTAAATGTAATTAATAGCAATATGTCCAAGTATGTTAGATATTTAAACTGAGTAAAACAAGTAAAATTAACAGCATACAGTATGATCATATCTTACTTCTACAGCAGAAGTTTTAGAAAAGTTTACAGAAGTTTCTTAAACACTGCTACAGGATAGTAGTAGTGTCTGAATAACTTTTAAAAAGTAAAATGCTATCTTGTTAAATTGAGTCAGATTTTTGCAAAGACTGATTTTACAGTATGACTAAAGAACAGACAGAGAAAAAAGAAGGAGGTGGGCTAACATTATGTAACAAAGGCTTTTAGCGCTCTATCACTCAGGGAATAAAAAGCGCACAGAGCAAAAAAGTATGAAGACCTCCTGCAGTTACATAATAAATCATGCTAAGACAAAAACCCACACACACACCACACACATGAATTGAACACTGAATTTAAGAACTGCATGTTAAACCAGCCTTTCCTGTAGAAGATAAATAGACTATTGGGACTTACTGCTTGCAAGAGTGATCTATACAGAATGTCTTTCTTCCCATCCCCGGTCTCCTCCATTTTCCGTCGTATGAAGAACCCTCCAAGTTTACGGATAAGGGTGCTGAAAACACATAAAGTCGAAAAAACGTTGTACACTGGCAGCAGTGATGTCTTTATCATTTTTAGTTGGCTGCAATTTGGTTATGGTGTCACTATGATTAAAGAGGAATCACTGTACTATAGTGATTCCTCTTTAGAAACTGTGATTATTGTGAGTATTAAATATGATTTGACAACATGTTGCTGACAGATGAACATGGATGGTTTCATACAATTTGGAATAAGCCAGTATGTAGCATTTACTTATAGACTGTTTTGTTTGTACTGGACCTACTAACCTATTTGAAGCAAGTTAGGATAAAACAGGTTTACAACCTGTTGTCAGGGAGGTTATATTCCCTTAAGGTAAAAACAGTGTCAGTCTTTAGTCTCACTCTTTAGTTCAGCTTTCATTCCTCTCTGATCAATTTCCCTTTCTTCTATTATCAAACTGATCTGTTTTCACTCACAGAGGGGAGAAATTCACTTTATTGCCACATCAAACTTGACATGAGCCTTCATGGGCCTTTTACCTGAGGATAGGGATGCTTAGGTTGTTTCCAGCAGCAATGTGTGGGGCTTTGATGTTGTGACAGAACAGGATCAACGTGATGAGCAGGTAGTCAATGTGGGATTTATGAACAGGGAGGAAGACCATGGGCACATTTTGCTGTAAAGACAAGACATAGATCATTTTAAAATAAACACAGACCACTGATATGCATATGGATATGTACTTTAGGAGCAAACTTTAGCCCATCAGAAATGTATTATGATGACTGCCGTTCAAGACTGCACTGATAATAAAAATGGTAATAAATACACAAAGTAAGACTGTGTACATGAAACACAAAAAGCAGTATTAGCACGTTATTGTGTCAGTTTGTGAAATGTATTTGTGTACTGCTTGTGTTTAACTGTCACTCATCAGATCATGTTGTGACAGTATAATCCATTTTTCTTTGTGTGTAGTTGCTGCTGACCTCCGTAGCTGCTTTCTTGACCATTTCCAGCTGGCCCTTGTGGATCTGGATGCTCCAGAAGAACCCGTTAAAGAGCCTCAGGAGGACCCACCCCGTCAGCCTGAAAGAAAATGAAAATGAAGATGTGGAACAGAAACAAAGAGTCTAGCTTTGGCAGAATCTAGTCCATTTTAGTGAAATTAAACATAATGGAGCCATGCACATATTCAGTGTACTAATCCACAGTAAAATAAAACTGCAGTACAATGAAAGAGTCTCTTCTAAGGTCTTCCAGAAACATTGTGTTAATGTGTTACAATATTCCTATAAACCCGGCTGAAAAGCAACTGACGTGAGATTTCTGGTACACAGTATATACCTGATAAAGGCTGGTGAAATGTTGGCCACCATCTCCTGGAGGAAGGCCCTGGCTTTCTGCTTCACTTTACTGACAGCTTTGTGGTCCTGGCCAGGCTGGCTGGCTGCAGTGTCCACATCTGTGGCTACCTTCACAATAGCACTCTCCACCCTGCCATGGGCAAAAGCACAGCACATACGTGAGGCATACAATTTTTTGTACACTTTATCCCCAAAAGCTATTAGTTGAGTGTTTCCACTCCCTGTATAATTTAATAATACGGTACTAATGTTGCTTAAGGGGTCACTACATACTCTCATGATGCTCTAAATGTGTAAATGTCTCATGTTACATTAACTCTCACCGGCTGTTGTTGAGCACATTGTCCACTACATTCCTGGTGAACATGTCCTTGTTGACATCTCTTTCCATGACAAACAGCACATAACTTAGCCTGCGCGCCAGCCAGCCCCGCTGTCTGCATGAGGACACACACACAGATACACATGTACAGCAATGTATACACAAAAACATGTACTGAAGAGAACACATTCTCAAAAATAACATATGAATGGATACACTAATTAATGCTTTAACAGATTTAATCTGTAGAATATGTGATATAAATATGTGATATAAATATCTGTGATCAACATTTGATCAAAATCTCTCATACATACAATCTCTCACAATATAAAAAGGTATAGTTTGACTGATCAGTTGAAGGACGGTCAGAAAAAAACTTGGCCATTGTTGGTTACACTGATTTACTGGTAATTTAACACATTTTCAAGAATCAGAGATCAGCTGTGGCTCACATATCCATTACACAGAGCTTTCTCCAACGACAATGGCAGTTTTGTTACACCTTGCTGAGCTTATAATCAACACAATACTCACTGTGTTAGATAAAAATTAACAATACTAACTTGTTAATAGTGAATTTAGCTCATCCTGGTTGCACGACATCTCTGTCTACATGCTAATACACTGCAGAATAAAACTAGATATAAACTTCTTTCAGTATTTCCCATGAAGTTCAGGGCATGATAGCAAATAGCCTTCATTAAAGTAACTCTATCCAAAGGACTGCCTTTGACTTGCTCGTGTTTATATTGCTTGGTGTTGAGGTATAAAGGTGTCTTACTGCTAAGGTCAGTCACTGGATGCATGTGTCCGGTGTCCACAGACAAACAGTTTAAATTATTCATCTGTCCATCTTTCCACTGCTTCCACGGTCCTCCTGACTTAAAGCCATCTATTAAACGCAGGTTGTTAGGGAGGCCAGTACCTGACTGCACTGTATTGATTGTACTATACAGGAGGAGCTCTTTGGTGCAGCGTGCAATTTAAGGGTTAATCAGATGCCAAAGCCACATGTGAAAGCCAACCAGCACAATGTGTAGTTTTGAAAGTTGAATATGTTCCCTTTTGTCGGTCCAATGGACTGTTCAAACACAAATAAAGTGTAAGGAAGTGATACTGTAATGGAGCAGATTTTCCTTTGTTTACCTGGTGTGGGTCTCATTGATATAGATGACGTTACGCAGTCCCAGAGATGGAATACTGGTGTTGAACAGTCTCTCCTGTGACCAAAAGCACAATGATTATTGAATCAACAACATAACTTCAACTTAGAGCCTTAGAGACACAGATGGGTTTGTAAATTTAAGGAATGAACACATAAGGTAGACAGAATTGTATCTTGTTGTCTTTTGACGAAACGAGTCTTGCAAGCAAGTCTCTGCATTCTAGATGAGCAAGCCGGAGCTTGTTTAGCTGATCTTGAGATACTGACTGAGATAAGAGTGGACTAAAGGTTCAAAGTAAGTCTGGTCTGTGCTGGAAGAAATTGCCTTTCTGCTGCCATTTCATTTAGTTTGTTACACATTAATGTACTACTCATTTTGAAAGAAACATGTTAAAAATGCCTGTTGGCCAATGTTTGTAGCATCTTTTAGAGACATACCAAATAGGATTGCACTTCACATGTCTTCAAAAACCACAATAAATTGTTTTTGGCGGGTGCTGTACACTGCATATTGATCAGACTAGACTTTAGAAAAGGAAAGTTAATTAGCTGTGGTGTAACATTACCCAGCTCTGTGGTGTACAGGAGTGACAGCAACGGCCCACAAAGGGCCTCTTTCTGTTCAGAAGACCCTCCTTCCACGTGCTGGCAACGCAGCGCAGGACCGAGGGGCTGGTGCTGCGGTCCTTGAAACACATCCAAAAACATCATTACAAAGATACAGGAATAACATTATACACATAACACAACCTGTTCTGTGGAACACATGCATGCTAAGACAAGATTAAACACCTAGGATCTGACAAGATATATCATGCCGATGATAATGTATAATGGCATTACAAACATAAATTGTTGATCTGAGTTCGTGGCTTACCGAGTCATCATTGGGATGTTTCCAGCGGTTACACCACTGCTCTCCATTATTGACCTGCAGCAACAAACCATCTGACACCTCCATATTCTCTGCTGTCCTTTCCTCTCCCTCCAGATCACACACCACTAGCTGGTAAGCTGGCAAGACAAAGGGATATCATATCATATCATATAGCAAGTTTTCTTAGCTAGAGCATGGCCTATTACAATATTTTAATTCACTTTTTGTGTGTGGCATCACAAGTCAGTCAGATCATACATCTGCCTTTAAGCATTTTGAGCGCAGGAGAACTGAGCATGAACTAGATGTCACGTCTCACTTCCACAGTAAAGATGAAGAAGATCCCTCCCACATGATTCATCACCCTGCTAGTATGAGTTTGGCTCACTTAACACCTGTTTGCTCCAGTTAGGCCAGATTTTCTGACTAATGTTAAGGTTACGTTGTTCCACTTGTCCCCAGAATACAATTCAGGGATTGGTCTGAGGTTTGAATAACTTGACAGCAGAAAGTATTGTGCATTGCACGCTGAAACATCTGAGACTGAATGAGAACAGGTTATAGCTCTACTCAAAATAAAAGTCTATTATGCAAATTAAATGACTGGATTTATTTAGCACTTTTAGTTTAACTTCCTTCCTGCCAACTAACATCTTATCATTGGGTCAATACTTGTACTTGTTTCATGAGTGATACTTCTGCTAATGAGCTATTATTAGTACTGGTATGTTACAGTTCACAAGTTTGGCAAAGCCTTCCTCATTTTAAGAGCCACTCAAGCATCTTCAGACATCTTTTCAGTTTCAATAAACTTGCTTCAAGTTCAAATGAACTTCATCAAACTGTACTGCTCTTTATTTAAGATAAATATTAATACATCTAAATTAATAAATAATCTAATCTATAGAAACTGGAGTTACATCACACGCAGTCATCAGTTAATCACAAGACAGTTTTCCTGAGTACACAGCACTTGATCTGATGGACTAGAGCCCGTACTCTGAATCCAAAATGTCAAACACACACCAATCAAGTTGTACAGCTCAACAAAACATTGTATTAGAAAAACCTGGACTATTACAATGAGGAGGTTTAGGATGAGTCACTATTGTATTTGCTGTAGCTCTATAAATATGTGTCACAGGTTAGTTAACTATGTAATCATTATTTTTCTGCAGTTGATTTGTGCGTACGAAATACAAATATGCCAACGGATACATCCTTGCTGTGTACCACCCAACTACTAGTTAACAATTTCTAAATGGCTTCTCAAAGTTTATAACAGGAGTGTTTGCCCTGAAAAGATGGATATTTTTTGAATATTTGTCAAAGAAACATACTTAAAAAGTATTCAACTCTCAACTTCAGATACACTAAATGAAGTAGCAATCAAAACAGAATTAACATAGAGGGAGGCTAAATGTTTAAAAGAGAATTAATTAGTTTAATTAATTTGTATATCCCTCTAATTTGTCACTTTGTCTTTGTTGAAAATTATCTGTAGACTAAATGTTTTTAGATGTTTGTATAATTGATTTATTTGACTGATAGTATGTGATGATGTAGCTCTAAAGATGAACCATTATTTGACCTGAAAAAACCACATAAACATTATGATCCGACACTTAACTGGTTACTGTCTTGTTAACCTTTTATACAATGGAGGTGTTCTGCATCTGGGCCCCAAATACCTACAAAGACTTTTGCCCCAGTCTGCCTCTTGTTTCCCCAATTGTTTTCTGTCTGCTTATTAGCAGGTGAATGAGGTGGCCACTGCAGTTCGGCTTGTTTGTTCCCACATTCTGAACATTGCAGTGCTGGCTGAAAGACACTTGACTGGAGCCCTGTTCACTAACTGCAAATGGGAGCAACAGACCATAACTAAAATCCTCTAAAATGTAAATTGTGATATTATTTACCAATGAACTGCTTTTCTGACACAAAGTGCAAAATAGTCCAATGGTAATTAACAGAAAAACACCATGGCCAGTGCCTCTCATTAGTTTGGAAATAGGTTAGTGAGTCACTTTATGAATGAATGCTTTCAGACAAAACATCATAATGTGTGTCAGTTAAGCGACAGTGTACATCTATCTTTCTGTGAATAATAAGTCTGACGGAGACGGCAGACGTGAGGGCAAAATGTTCCTGCCTAACTAGTATCCAGCGGAGAATGAATGCACTTTGAGCCAACGTCCTGTTGTAGGCGATACGCACACTGATGAGGGGGAACTGGGTTTTCAAAAGGGTCAATGACCGAGAGTACTCCACTTGATGGGGTGACTTTGTTGGAAGCAAAACAAAGAAGTTGAGGAATGAGGAGCTGTGGGGGTTAGGTAACAGGTGAAGGTAGCCATAATGAAACATTAAAGTTTCCATGCAAGTTAATATATTGACTAATGTAACATTAGACTAGGCTAGATTGTAACTTTATTAGTCTTCAAATAAGAAAAATATATCTGTATGTAATATCCTGCTTATCCTTCAAATAATCCTGATCAAGTGTCAACATAAGAGTTCAGATGACATATGTTGATACTCTTTAGGAATGCACCAGGAAGCACATACAAGTAGTAATAAAAAAGCAGTAATATTTCACCCATATCAGCCAATGCAGGCTTGGATCTTTACAATACAAACAGACATATAAAGTAAGTTTTCTTTATTATTTTATTCCGTTAGTAATTTTACAATTAACACCACAATCTGCCAAATCTTGTCAAATTACACTGGACATATATCAGCATTAATGTATAAAGCACGTTTCAGGAGAGCCAGCTCAACCCCCCCACTGTACCACATTATATCTATCTTTAAAAACATCCCTGTTGTTGCACACTGTACATGACTGCGTTAATCCATCTCACAAGCTCCAAGCTGTAATCTGCAAGAAATAAGCAGGTCAAACAGGAGAAGTCTCGTGACAGATGGGGTGCAGATAACTAGCCGTGCAGACAACAATGGCACAAACCAGGCAGTCTGATGTCTGGCGAGCTTGGCCACAAGGTTAAGAAAAAAAAAACAACAAAAAAAACCCACCGTTTTAATTGGCTAAAGCTGCAATCTCCTGGTTAAATGGCTCTTGTAGCTCCATTTGGAGGTTCGTATTAAGCTATTAAACCGATGACTTGTGCAGTTTGTGTTGCACATTGCCTGGCATGCTGTCGAGCCTCATGAGGCAAACCTTGATGTGAGGGGGTTTTAAGGGGACTCGCGATTCCTGGAAATGGAGTACAATTAGCGTGACGTGCTTTTAACGTTAAATGGATTAGCTAATGTCTCTGGGGGTGACATAACAAGCCAAGGTTAACTTAGATGTAAAAAAAATAAAATAAAAATCCTATTCTGAGCAAGGGTCCCCTTTGAACTCAATGTCAACGTAAAGTTAACCGGCTAACGTGAGGTCATGCCACTAAAAATCGGCCCTAAATGTGTCTTAGATTTGTATTTATCGATCACCAACGTGTGGGCTAACGTCGCAACGGAGTTATTGTTTCCATGACAATTACGCACGAGGCATTTAGTGGCAGTTACTTCAACTGCCGACGATGTAGCTAGCACTAGCTCGCTAGCCGGGCTCGCGAGAACGAAACCTCCCTTACCTTGAATGTTGTGTTACGCTGACTCATATCTCAGAAATAAACCCGTCGACAAAACTCAACTGCAGCCAGCCGTCGGGGTCCTTTAGAGGTCCGGTGTCTCCCTGTAAGAGCTCCCACTCCTCAGAGGACTGGACGGCTCTGTCATGCAGCTCTGTGACAGGACCGCTGTTGTTGTGGTGGTACAGCGCCGAACTGCCCGCTGTCGTTATGGCGGATGCCTGGAGAGGGCAGCACTCCGCTAATCCGACCACACTGCATCAGCTGCGGCACTGAAATAATGTTTTTCTTTTTGTTTTTTGTTTTTTGTTCTATAAGGCATATAACGTTATATGACAGTGTGTGTTTCGAATAACTGGTTTGACGCTTTTTAAAAAAATAAATAAAATTGGGCTTTTATTTTGAAGTCCTGTCATTCGTTTGGGCTTTGTGATTAAAAATAAATAAAATGTTATTCTTGTTTCAAGAAAGTAAACATCACAACATATCATAAAAGACAATAAAACATAGTCTTACACAGAAAAGAACAAAGCTTTAAAAACAAACAAAAAAATTACAGTTAATCAAAAAACATGGACGTATTGCGTCCTCCAGTGGTCGGATATTTATAATGCATTTTCTTGGAGCGTACCACTGTGCTATGATAGCGGGGGTCGATTATTAAACTCAGTATGACAGTATGACTTTTGGGGCACAGTAAACTATAGATATAACATAAAATATAAAAAGTTCTCACAACATTTGAATACTTACTGTCATTACTCAACCAGTAGCTATATTTACGATTTTCTGAGACTGCCAACAATTGTGTCACCTATGACGATAGCTATAATGGTAGGGACTTGGACGTTCTATTTCCTTCGTTTCTATCAAGCTAGCGGGAGCCATGAGGTAAGCTAGACATTTGATATTTAAATATATCTTTTTATTCTAAGCAAACTACATATAGGGTTGTTGGCTTTGTTATTTCAGACAAGTAAGAGTACTCGCACTCGGTTCGGCTTGGAGTGAAATCGCCTATTTCTGCGAGAATCCACGTAGCGTTAGGGCCTATGTTGGAGAGCTAACCTAGCTAAGTTCAACAAGACATGTCACAACATGTCAGCGGCGGATCAGCTGGCAACAGTATTTTAATGTGTTTGTGGAACAATCTGCTCAATAAAGTCAGTTAAATAAACAAACTAAGATAGTTAACTATATAGTAATTTGGTTAGGTCTCGTGTAGCGTATAGTTGGTCCTCACACTTTATAAATATTGGGGGTTAATAAGGGGCTAATGTTAGTATTGCTTTGTGTCAGGCATTTTTGTTTTGTGCTTTTCCTTTTTTACGCCTGGTAGTTAAAGGCAAACCCGATGACATTCCCAGGGATGTTATTCAACAAGTAAAGAAGATAAATATATATAACATCCCTCAGTCTGCCCCCTCTTATGGGCAGCTGGCAACCTTTTAGTTCGTTTATGTTACTGGTTAAAGTTATAGGATTAAAAAGTAGAGGAAATAATGGTAATTAAATTCCAGGTGCGCTGTCACATCGGCATCAGGGGATGGCAAAGGCGTAACAATTACTGGTAGTCCCAGGAATAAAGTTTTACAGTAGTAGTATACCTTGAATTGCAGAGTATGAGAATACTCTTGTCTTTTGTATCTTTTTTGATTGATTTCTTTTTTTGCATGTTTTTTATTTGTAATCCAGGTTTTGTCAAGCAAATCTTGTTTATGTAGTCCAGAATCAAAAATCAAGGGACTATTAAAGGGCCAATAAAATGATTTTGGTTAGTAGTGATAAAGTGAAAGAAGTATTTAGCTACAACATTAACATACTTTAAGATCAAATAGAAATTTGAATTATACCTATGGTATTCTTTTGCAGTTTCAGTCAGTACAATACTACATAAATCTCGATGCTGAGAGCAGTGTTTCATGCACAGGGTTGAAAATATAAAAACGTATGAGGTGACACACTGCTACTTGCTTTGATACACATCCCCCTTTTTTAAAGTATAAGAATCTTAAACGCTACCTAGCACTGTTTGTATCTCACATCCTGCAAAACTAATATGTTCCTCGTCATTTATGCAGCATGCTCAGGCTCCAGAAGCGCTTGGCGTCCAGCGTCTTGCGCTGTGGCAAGAAGAAGGTGTGGCTTGACCCCAATGAGACCAATGAGATTGCCAACGCAAATTCTCGTGAGTAGTTTACTTTTCAATAGAAGGTTCTTTCTCTGTAGATGTGTGCTGTCTCGTCCCCGTAGGCCAGCATCTTTATTGTGCTGTATTTGTACCACAGGCCAGCAGATCCGTAAACTGGTGAAGGATGGACTGATCATCAGAAAACCTGTGACGGTTCATTCCCGCGCTCGCTGCCGCAAGAACACTTTGGCACGCCGCAAGGGACGTCACATGGGTTATGGTGGGTAATTGATTTACAAGTAATGTCTTTTTCCTTTTCCGTATTTCCTTTCACAGATTTTACGTATAGTGTATGCTATACTAGCATTTATTCCAGAATTGTAGTTGCCCAGTGGACAAAATGAAAGTAATAATTTATGCACATCATTCCTAATTTTTAGTTTTGATTATTTGGTTACTTATGTCTGAACATTTTGAGGAAACACTGTCCAGCACACAGCAGTTTTATTTTTGTTTATAATAAATATAATTTACCATTTTTCTCCTGCCCAGGTAAGAGAAAGGGTACAGCCAATGCTCGTATGCCAGAGAAGTTGTCATGGATGCGACGCATGAGAATCCTACGTCGTCTTCTTCGTCGCTACAGGGAGTCGAAGAAAATTGACAGGCACATGTAAGTGTGAATGTCAGCGTTCTTTGCTGGTGAAAAAGCCAGTGCCGTTTTAATTTCAGTTTCAGGAAGAGGCATTTTGCTTTGAGGCGCTCTGAGGTGTTTTCTGTTTCCTCCAGGTACCACAGTCTCTATCTGAGGGCCAAGGGTAATGTCTTCAAAAACAAACGCATCCTGATGGAGCACATCCACAAACTGAAGGCAGATAAGGCTCGCAAGAAGCTTCTGGCGTAAGTTGCTCTTTCTTTATTGTCCTGCCATACTTAATAACCTATATTATTAGTTGGTCTTTCTGGCAGCGTCCATATATATTGACATTTTTTCCATTAGTTCTCTGTGGTATGTCGAATTAATTTTCTTCTGTCTCCACCTCTCTTAACCCACCCAGTGACCAGGCTGAAGCTCGCCGCTCAAAGACAAAGGAGGCCCGCAAACGCAGAGAAGAGCGTCTCCTGGCTAAGAAAGAAGAGATCATCAAGAACTTGTCAAAGGAGGAGGAATCTGCAAAAAAGTGAATCTAAACTAAAAATCTTTCTTCTTAAACTCCCCTTTTTCTTGTTAATAAATTTGGATAAAAGAGACTGTCAGTGTTTGGTGATTATTATTGTCTGCCTGAGGCTAAGAAAAGTCTTTTTAAGCTGCATTTTGGGTTAGTGTTCTCAGCAGTCCAACAGGAGGCAGCAAAGCACCAGTATCCATTCTACCATAACATCATGTCTACATTCATTTTAGTCCTACAAATGTTTTAAACACTAAATATGTATTGATTTATTTTAATCATTGATTACCTAAGCTATTTTACTACTCATCCCAGAGGCTTCATCAGTTTCACCAACAGTATTTAATCACATTTTAGTAAAATAACTACAGCAACAGACTGCTGTCAGACTCAAATATGGACAGTTTTTGGACCACAAAAAAAACAGAGTATGGTACATAATAATATCTCATACACAGGATATACCATATTAATCTCATATTGAACATGATTACATTCCTAAATGATTTGATTCTGACTACTGACCCTGGTACAGCCCAAGGAAAACCTTAGTTGGTGTTTACTGGTTACTTTATATTACTCTATATTAAGCCTCTATGTGTTACAGTTTGGGCACTCTGTTGAAATGCATATTTTATGAAGCCCTTTCAGAAACATCCATATATTTAATGGTTACTCCCTTGCTGAGTGGAGGGAGTTTGGAAGTTTATAGAACACAGTTTATTTATACTCAATTTTATTTTGGACCTGCACTTTCTACCTATCAAACTCACTATTTTAATTCAACATACACCCTTCAAAGATAGGAACAAGCCAGGGTCGGACCCTGTAAATGCTGCTAGTGGGGCCCTGGGTGTGTCTACTCTGCTAATAAGGAAGGGTGGTGTTAGCAGTATACAGAAACTCCTCCTCATGCTGTCTTTCTAAGGATTATTTGTCAGTGTATTTGCACTACCCGCTATTGGCCTTTTACTTTAACAGAGGATAACATAGCGTTTTGCAGCATTTGGCCGTCACTGTCTGAGCATTCATGGAAGGAATTTCCAAAATGTTCCCTTCAAATGCCTCAGCACTCATTCTAGGTCTTCCTCTGCCTCTTTGCGTGTTTGGTTGTGTGCTTGTTGGTCTTTGTGTGTGTGTCAGTGATGCATTTTATCCATGACTTATCAATTTATCCACTTAGCTGTGTGAGCAGTCATTTGGTATCAGTCACTTTGAATTCAGCTTGAGCTGATTGAAATTGACATTGAGGCAAAACCTCAGAGAGAATTGAAGAACACAACAAATTTAGTTTTCAGTAGATAATTGTCCCATGCTGACATACAGATGAACCCAAACAATTATGACTGCCCAAGTTTTATTAATAAATAATTTAGCTATTAATAAATGATTTTCCTCATAAATAATTTTCTCAGCCTCACTCTTCCTGAAGGCAAGTAACAAAGCGACAGCGACGACTGTATCGCACCTTCATAAGAAACATTGGCCGTGCTCCATCTTACAACCACTGTCAGCCACATTAAACCTGTGCTGCTGACGCTCCAGTCATCCAGTTGTTTTTCGCTTCTTGCTCGGGCCTTGAAGGATTCCTTCTGTTATGCTCCCTGGAGAAGGTGTGACTGAAGTGTTTGCAAATGCAGCCGTCTCTAACCAGGACAGGCAGGCTGCTGTTTGTGGATGTGAGGAAGAGAATTAGGGGGATTCTCTTCAGGTCCATGCAAATCAGATTATATTCAACAATTCAAATCATCATACGTGAATGCTACTGCTGTTTTAATGACTTCCATATACTAATACCAGGAATCTAGGATGACTTTTTTTTAGAACTCCTTTAATTTCTACAACTTGCTCTGGAGAGTTCACTTCCTGTTGACTGCCAGATGTTTTAAATCTGGGTTGTAGCAGCTTCTGTTT